TTGAGTGAAAAAGCTCAGTGACAGTGCCAAAGACCTGAGCTCAAGATCCACAACCAAAAAAGTCTCACTGATTTTTCTGCCTGGGCTGGCTTTGAGCCTTGATCCTCAGATCTCAACCTCCTGATTAGACTTACTGGCATGAGCCACCAGTGCCCAACTAGAACTGCTTTCAAAGGTGTGTGGTGAAGGCTTTCCAGTGAGATTTTTACTATTGTATACTTAGTTTTCCTCTTATAATTCAGATGGAGGTATAGTCTATATTGTCTGGACTTTATGGTAAAAAGAACAGGGCAACTCCTAGGACACTAGAAACATCTTCCAGATCCATATACTTCTGTCAGGTGGAGGATGGGACAGTAAATAGCTAAACAGTGGGAACTCTCTTCATTACATGGACTCTTGTGTCCTTTCCCAGAGTCCTTACAGGAGTTAGTATCCCACATGGTGGTGCGCTGGGCCCAGGAGGACTTTGTGCAGAGCCCCGAGCTAGTCCGGGCCATGTTCAGCCTTCTGCATCGGCAGTATGATGGGCTGGGTGAGCTGCTGCGTGCCCTGCCACGGGCATATACCATTTCACCGTCTTCTGTGGCGGACACCATGAGCCTGTTGGAATGCCTCGGCCAGATCCGCTCGCTGCTGATTGTGCAGATGGGGCCCCAGGAGGAGAATCTTATGATCCAGAGCATTGGGTGAGGTGCCCCCACTTCTTGCCTATTACATCTGCTTTCCCCATGTCCAGCAGCTTTTGCTCAGTTATACCTGTTTTGGGCTTAAACTCAGAGCATGGGTACTGTCCCTGAACATTTTCTGCTTGAGGCTGGCTCTCTACCACTTAAGCCACAGCTCCATTTCTGCCTCTTTGCTGATTAATTGGAATAAGAGCCTCATGGATTTAGCTGCCGAGGCTGACCTCAAACTGTGATCCTCAGATCTCAACCTCCTAAGTTGCCAGGATGACAAGTATGAGTCATCGACACCTGGCTCTCAGTTGTAATTCTTGTCATAACATCATGGCACTGAGCAGTCAATGTCAAATATGTCCTATTCAGTCACTCAACAAACATTTAAATACCTACTATGTGCTAGGCCTTCCCTAGGTACTTGGTAATACAATGGACAGTATGACAAAAGTCTCTACTCTAGGGGAGCCCACTTCGGAACCAGGCCTCAGTTTCCTTACCTGTAAAATGGGCATAATCATGGTTCCTGCTTCCTGTCACCACCCCCTTTCCATGGATGTGGGGATGAATGAGTTCAAATTTGTACAGGGGAGCAGTGCCAGGAACTGTCAGAGGTCAATGAATGCTAAGCATTATCACAATGGTGGCCATGCTGACTCTTCCCTATCCACAGGAACATTATGAACAACAAGGTCTTTTACCAACACCCAAACCTGATGAGGGCCCTGGGTATGCATGAGACCGTCATGGAGGTCATGGTGAACGTCCTTGGGGGCGGTGAATCTAAGGTGAGGGAGGGGCCTGGCTGGACTGGAAAGCTCAGGGGAGGAGGGGACACTGCAGCAGGCAGACATTGACTATGGAGCCTTACTATCCATCCCAGGAGATCCGCTTCCCCAAGATGGTGACCAGCTGCTGCCGCTTTCTCTGCTACTTCTGCCGCATTAGCCGGCAAAACCAGCGCTCCATGTTTGACCACCTGAGCTACCTGCTGGAGAACAGTGGCATTGGCCTGGGTAAGAGACTTCAGACCCAGAGCCCAGGGCAACCCCCAGAGTTCACTTCTGACAGCCTACCCAGACGGGCACCTTCCCATCTCACTCACTCAATTCAGTCATTCATCAAACATTCTAACTTACCACACAGCACCGAGACACAACAGTGATCCCCACAGACCAGTTGAGGCACCTGGAAAGAAGGAGTAGTCAGGGAAGGCTTCCCAGAGGAGGTGAAGCAGATAACAATACATTCTCACCACTTCTTATCCCACAGGCATGCAGGGTTCCACGCCCCTGGATGTGGCAGCTGCCTCTGTCATTGACAACAATGAGCTGGCATTGGCATTGCAGGAGCAAGACCTGGAAAAGGTGTGGAGGGGGCAGGCACAGTCCTACCTGGCTGTGTGGGTTACCTCTGACTATGAACTGGGGTGGTTCAGGAGATGAGGTAGACCAGGCAGAGTTCCCTGTGAGATCCAGAGCCGAATGGGGCTGAGTCACTCCCAGAATGGTAGATCTGGTCCTTGGAGGGGAGAATGGTGTAGGTCTGACCTTGAACTGAGGCCCTTTCCATCCCTCAGGTCGTATCCTACCTGGCAGGCTGTGGCCTCCAAAGCTGCCCCATGCTGCTGGCCAAGGGGTACCCAGATATCGGCTGGAACCCCTGTGGTGGTGAGCGGTACCTGGACTTCCTGCGCTTTGCTGTCTTCGTCAATGGTGAGCAATATGGTGGCAGGGGCAGGGCAGGAGGTGTGAGGGTCAGGGATTAAAGCCCATCTTTGGGGTGACAATTCATACCTTAACCTGCTTGAAGCAGGGGCTGGGGGGAATGGGGACCTAGCAGTGTCCCTTGAAGGTGGCAGGTTGTCTCTAGGGGGTCCCTGGCTGTTGGCATATGGTCCCTTCTGACCCTGTCCCCTGGTTGGCCAGGTGAGAGTGTGGAAGAGAATGCCAATGTGGTGGTACGACTGCTCATTCGTAAGCCTGAGTGCTTCGGCCCCGCCCTGCGTGGTGAGGGCGGCTCAGGGCTGCTGGCTGCCATTGAGGAAGCCATCCGCATCTCTGAGGATCCTGCCAGGGATGGCCCAGGTGTCCGCAGGGACCGGCGACCGCAGTGAGTCTCCTGGTCCCCTCCTCAGTAAGGCAAACTTCCCTCCTTATACCCCTGGCTGCCTCGCCCACATCACATTCCTCCCCCTACAGCTTTGGTGAGGAGCCCCCTGAGGAAAACCGGGTACACCTGGGACATGCCATCATGTCCTTCTATGCCGCCTTGATCGACCTGCTGGGACGCTGTGCACCAGAGATGCATGTGAGACCAGAAAGCTAGATGGGATGGAGAGAGATGGAGAGCATTCATGGCCCAACCTCAAACCTCTGCCCTCAGGCACTGGGCATTACTAACTGAGCTCTCATAGGGGGTGGACCTGGGTTTGGCAGTGCTGGGTACATGTTGTGACTTCATGAAGCTTTCAGGCCATGGTAGAGATAGACATTGATAACCTATAGGGGCCAGGCAGGGGAGGCACAAGCAGAGGAGTTGGGACTACAGATAGTACCTTGACAAAGAAGGTTTAGACAGGGATGGCGGCCCATTCATTTAATCCCAGAACTTGGGAGGCTGAGGCAGGAAGACTGAGAATTTGAGGCCAACCTGGACTACATAGTTGGACCCTCTCTTGAAATAATAAAAGGAGGCTTGCTGTACCTGTGACTGCATCAGAGGTGAAATGGAATCATCTCCAAATTAGGCACAAGTTTCTGATGATATGTCTATCCATCTTCATACCACCTCTAGCTAATCCAAGCTGGCAAGGGGGAGGCTCTGAGGATCCGGGCTATCTTACGATCTCTTGTGCCCTTGGATGACCTTGTGGGCATCATCAGCCTCCCACTGCAGATGCCTACACTGGGCAAAGGTAGGAAGGTTGGGATATATCAAGGGAGTGAATGCTAAGGAGGGAGCCAAGGGATTTGAAGGGCATCCATGATTCCCACCACTCTGCCCTGGCCATCTTTGTCTACAGATGGGGCACTGGTCCAGCCAAAGATGTCTGCATCCTTCGTGCCTGACCACAAGGCATCCATAGTGCTCTTCCTGGACCGAGTGTATGGTATTGATAACCAGGACTTCTTGTTACATGTACTGGATGTGGGCTTCCTTCCTGACATGAGGGCAGCTGCCTCTCTGGACACGGTAAGCGGCCCGTCCAGCCTGGCTACCATCCCTGCCCATTGCGAGTGATATAACAGGATGGCCACAGCAGCATCTTGTCCTGGGATTGAGGCATATCTTAATTCCCATCACCATCTCCCAAAATAACCAGCAATAAATCAGGAGGCATGGCTCAAGTGGTAGAGATCCAGCCTAGTAAGCCAAGCAAGAGGGAGATCCTGAATTGGAACCCTAGTATCATGCTCCCTCCACTCCCCCAAAAGCACTGCCAAATGTATATGTGTAAATGAGATCTCTATCTTATTACATAAAAGATAAAGATTACAGAGGAAATAAGCACACAGAAGGGTAATGTCTTCAAAATAGCCACAAATAAGGAATCCATCCTATTAACCTTTCCTTGGCTTTAGTGTGTGTGTGTGTATGTGTGTGTGTGTGTGTGTGTGTGTGTGTGTGTGTGTGTGTGATTGTTTTTCTTTTTGTTTTGTGATGGTACTAGGGCTTGAACTCAGGGCTTTTTGCTCAAGACTGGCACTCTGCCACCTGAGCTATATCTCCACTTCTGGCTTTTTGGTGGTTAATTAGAGATTAAGAGTCATGGATTTCTCTGCCCAGGCTGGCTTTGAACCTTAATCCTCAGATCTCAACCTCTTGAGTAGCTAGGATTACAGGTGTGAACCACTGTTGACTGATGTGTGTGTGTGTATGTGTGTGTGTGTGTGTTATCAATCTGTCTGTGTTAGAATTTTGATTCCCAAATAATAAGCACGAGGAGTAGAAACTGAGAGAAGCAAGATTTAGGGGAAATAATCAGAAGCCTGAGTCCTTCACTCAGAGTTATCTGGACAGGTGCCAAGATCACCCCCTGGGTGTACAGTGGGCCTGATATCCCCACTCTGTGCCCTAGGCCACTTTCAGCACCACAGAGATGGCGCTGGCTCTGAACCGTTACCTGTGCCTGGCGGTGCTTCCTTTGATTACCAAGTGTGCACCCCTGTTTGCGGGAACTGAGCACCGGGCCATTATGGTGGACTCCATGCTGCACACTGTGTACCGCCTGTCCCGGGGCCGCTCCCTCACCAAGGCTCAACGCGACGTCATCGAGGACTGCCTCATGGCACTCTGCAGGTGGACTGAGACGGGGGAGTGGGCATGGTCATGACACGGAAGTGGCTAGTTGTTTGGCTGGATTGCTCTGGGGGTGTGGTCTGAATGGAGGCAGGGCCAGTTTGAGGGTGTAGCCACAGGGCAGGGCTGGCCTCCAGGTTAGAGTACCCTATGCATAACCTTCCAGGTACATCCGCCCATCCATGCTACAGCACCTGCTGCGGCGCCTGGTGTTTGATGTACCCATCTTGAACGAGTTCGCCAAGATGCCACTCAAGGTGAGAGCAAGCTTTCTTTGACAGGTGCATTTCATGCCTTGCCCACTGCCTGGCTTTGCCCTTGGACTAGGGGGCTCTTTGGGATCAGCCTAAACACGTGAAGGTCAGAGTCCCCATAGTCACCAATTAGCATCTTCATTTGCCTCCCAGGATTCCCAGGACATTCACTTTGCGTCATTGGTGCCTCTAACATTCCCTAATTAGAGCTTAATTTGACTAACCAAATGAGCCAACCCCCGCCTCAATTAGCATATGTTTGCATAGGGCACACCACTTTCCTTAATTAGCATTTTATTCCTCATTCCAGACCACCAGCCTTTCACTATTCAAATGAGTATATTTATTTGAATAAACAGTACCATAGCTGTTCTGAATATTTGCACACTGTCTCTCCTGTTTCTTACCATTTGCATAGTAGTTTGCATAAGGAGATACCCCTAACTCAGATATCTGGAGCCTGTTTTGCATAATATACTTAAATTATCCCCATGCTTCAAGTTTGCATAGTGGACACCAAAGGCCCACTTCTCAAATTACCATATATTTGCATGGGGTACTGTTTATGTTTCAATTTGGCATACTAATTTGCATAAGCACAGATCACTTCTTCCATATTTGCACACCACCCTCTCCCTGGACTATTAGCATGCTTATTTCCGCAAAGGAAAGACAAATCCAGTTCTAACTTAATGCCCATCCTATCTCTAAATGAGAATACTAACTTTGCATTAACCAACTGTCCAGGACCATTTCCTCAGGAAGCCCAGCATTCCTTCCCTTATTAGACATCATTTGCAAACACCAGCAAGTACGTGCCCCTGGAACCTTCATTTGCTTGCTGTCTGCTCATGCCTCCTCCCACATGCCCCCTCTTGCTGCCACTAGCTTCTCACCAACCACTATGAGCGCTGCTGGAAGTATTACTGCCTTCCCACGGGCTGGGCCAACTTTGGAGTCACCTCTGAGGAAGAGCTGCACCTCACACGCAAACTCTTCTGGGGCATCTTTGACTCTCTGGCACATAAGGTCTGGGCACACAGAGCCATCCCAAGGGGACCTGTGTAAAGGGTTTGGGGATCCAAGCTTGGAGACTTCTTCAAATCTGAGGGGTCTAGGGAGAGGAACCACAATACAGGTTTGTGAATTTGGGGAGGGAGGTTGACAGAGGATGTGAGTTGGAGTTCCTGAAACTCCAGGGATGAAGGCCTCAGCAAGGCCTGCTGTGATTGCCACGTGCACCCCCCCCCAACCCCTGCTTCTTTCTGGCCTCTGCAGAAGTATGACCAGGAGCTGTACCGCATAGCCATGCCTTGTCTATGCGCCATCGCAGGGGCCCTGCCTCCCGATTACGTGGACGCTTCCTTCTCATCCAAGACAGAGAAAAAAGCCACAGTGGATGCTGAAGGCAACTTTGATCCCCGGCCTGTGGAGACCCTCAAGTGAGGCCTGGGAATAGGAGGACTTGGGGGGATACCCTCAGCTGGGGAAATAGAGGGACACCCAGCCCCCACACCTACTGGTCCCTCTCCTCCAACAGTGTGATCATCCCAGAGAAGCTCGACTCCTTCATTAACAAGTTTGCAGAGTACTCACATGAGAAGTGGGCCTTCGACAAGGTCGGAGTCATAGTCCCCATCCCCAGAAAACCCACCCTTGCCCACCATCTATCTTCCCTGAGAGCCCCAGATGTCCCTAAGACCCCTTGGATCTCTGGGAACCGTCAGCCCCTGCAGAGCCCCCCACATACACTTTATGTCCCCTCACACTGTTATCTACATGTTATTCTGCCTCCACCTCTAGATCCAAAACAGCTGGTCCTATGGAGAGAACATAGATGAGGAGCAAAAGACCCATCCCATGCTGAGACCCTACAAGACCTTTTCTGAAAAGGTGACCCAATCTTGGGACCCAACGTTGTTTCATTTTGAAAACTCCCAAATTTGAGAGGTTTAGGAAGCAATGAGGTAGCCTTCCAGGTTTTGCATCTCTATAGACCTGTAGTTAGGGCTCACTAGCCATGAACTTTGCCCTCAGTCAAACTTAGTTGCCTTCCTGAGAGATCCCAGAATCCTAGTGTTTCTAGAGGATGAGTTTGATTCCTTGATCCTGAGGTCATGTAAGTGAGATCCTGAGTATGTACTTGGAATGCTCAGTTACAGAGCAGATAAGAGACCTGAGTTCCCACTGGGTATGGTAGTACATGCCTGTCTTCCCAGCTACTCAGGAGACTCTTGGTCTAAGACTGGGACATGTGGGCTGGGAGGTTGGCTCAGTGGTAGAGTGCTTGCCTTGCATGCATGAGGCCCTGGGTTCGATTCCTCAGCACCACATAAAACAAAAAGCCAGAAGTGGCGCTGTGGCTCAAGAGGTAGAGCACTAGCCTTGAGCTGAAGAGCTGAGGGACAGTGCCCAGGCCCAGAGTTCAGGCCCCACAACTGACAAAAAAAAAAAAAAAAAAGACTGGGACATGTGAGTATGGGTGTTTCAAGGCATAAAACACTATCTGACAAAGAAAAGCAAAAGTGGTGCAGGTGCTAGAGCACTTGTCTAACAAGTTCAAGGATCAGTTCAAACCCCCAATACAGAGGCAGGCAGATAGACAGACAGACTTCTGGCTTCCGCTCCTAGATGGACTAGTTCTAGACACATGGTGGGAATTTCCTTGGAGGCCAGAGAAGCTAAACCAAGGGCTCCTTCTTGCCACATCCTACCAATTCTGCTCCCTCCTGTCTACCCAGGACAAAGAGATTTATCGCTGGCCTATCAAAGAGTCCTTGAAGGCCATGATTGCCTGGGAGTGGACCATAGAGAAGGCCAGGGAGGGCGAAGAGGAGAAGACAGAAAAGAAGAAAACAAGGAAGATTTCCCAAACTGCCCAGGTAAGGCCACAAGGGAAGGGGCAAGAGGCTGAGTAAGGGGTGGAGCTAGAGAAAGATGAAGTGGAGAAGGGAGAGAGGCTGAGGAGGAGAGGTAAGATCAAGAGAAGAGGAAAAGGAGAAAAGGGAAGCAGAAAAATTTGAGGGTTCTTAAGCATCAAAGGACAGGTGGGTGCTGGTACCTCAGACTTGTAATCCTAGCCACTCAGGAGGCTGAATTGTGAGGATTGCGGTTCAAAGCCAGCCTAGGCAGACAATTCCAGGGGACTCATATCCAATTAAGTAGCAATAAGCTGGAAGTGGAGGGGTGTGTCAGGTGGCAGGGTGCTAGTCTTTGAGTAGAAAATGCCAAGCAAGAGCACAAGGCCTTGAGTTGAAGTCCCAGTACCAGCACATGCACGCGCGCGCACACACACGCATGCATTCACACACACACACACACACACACACACGGAACAGAAGAGAGGAAGGGATGATTCCAAAACAGGGCCTTAAGAAGGAGAACAGAAAATGAGGGAGTGGTGAAACTGTTCAAAAAGAAATGTACTCAATACCTGACTTATGTAATTGTACCACTCTGTACATCCCTTTACAATAAAATTAAAAAAAAATAAAACAGGGATCAGAGGAGTTGTCTGGGGGCCTGCACTTCCTGCTAATCCATTAATCCCCCTTCTCACTCTTGCCCTCTCAGACCTATGATCCCAGAGAAGGCTACAGTCCACAGCCTCCTGATCTCAGTGGGGTTACCTTGTCCCGAGAGCTGCAGGTGAGACCTCTGATCTTTGTTTTGGGGAGTGTGAGGGGACATCTGATGGGAGAGCATCCTCTGAATCAGATCCTTGCCTCCACTCCTAGGCTATGGCAGAACAACTGGCAGAGAATTACCACAATACCTGGGGGCGGAAGAAGAAGCAAGAATTGGAAGCCAAAGGTGAGGGTGCCCATACCCCACCACTGCCCCTTCCCCAAAGCCCCCAGCCACAGGTCCAGAGTCACAAGGGCCTCGGTTACAATCCTGGCAGTCATTGTCATTGTATGACTTTTGACAATTGCTCTTCCACCCCCTCAATGTTTCCCTTTGTAGAAAGGGAATAATAAAAGTGGGTTACCACCCCATGGGCAGGGTGGACAGGGATAGCAGTATCATAAGCTATTCTATTATCTCCATCTTTATTATTGTAATTAATATGAACCCTCAAGCGCAGGAACCATTTCAAATGAGAATGGCTCTGGTCCTGATTTCTGATCTTTGCCTTCTCAGGGGGTGGGACGCATCCCCTGCTGGTCCCCTATGACACACTCACTGCCAAGGAGAAGGCACGAGATAGAGAGAAGGCCCAGGAGCTGCTGAAGTTCCTACAAATGAACGGCTATGCTGTTACCAGGCATGTCAGCAGGGGGAAGACTGGTCAAAGGGCTGTGTAGAACTTGGGTGGAAGCCTCTTGCAGGAGCTGGGAGGGGTGGGGAGGAGGAGTGGCGGGGTGGAGCCATGGTGGAGGCCCAATCAGAAGGGATGTGCTTGGAGTGGGGCTTGTGGTAGAGGTGGAGCCATAAGGGATGAGGCTATCAACTCTGACCAGAGAGAAGGCTTAGCAGGCAGAGCTAGGGGAGATGCCTAGAGGAGCCAGGACCTGGGACGAAGTAGAAGCCTGGTACAGAAAGTATTTGTGGGCCTGTAACTCACAAGGGAAAGAGTGAGAAAGCTGGACAGAACCTGTGTGAACTGACCTTTTCCTGCCTTGCCTCACAGAGGTCTTAAGGACATGGAGCTGGACACATCTTCCATTGAGAAGCGGTTCGCGTTTGGCTTCCTGCAGCAGCTACTACGATGGATGGACATTTCCCAAGAGTTCATTGCCCACCTGGGTATGAAGAATTCCCCCTCCCTGCCCCCGATTTCTACCACACCTACAAAGACTCGCCTAGAAAAACCAGTTCATTTACTCCTTCTCCTCCCTTCAGCTCATACTTACTGAGCATCTACTATATGCCAGACACCATTGTCTGGGGACACTGATCCTGCCCTTTTGCACCTACATTCTTGGGGTGGAGTCAGTTAACATGACAAGAAATGAAATCACTTACTGGGTTAGGTGATCAGTGTTATGGGACTGATAAATCAATCAGTAGCTCCAGATAAAGGAGAACTGGGAGTGTGGAGCTGGTTATAATTTAGACAATTCAAAAAAGTTTTATGGGGGTGCTGGGAAGATGGCTCAGTGGTAGAGCGCTTGCCTTGCATGCCTGAGGCCCTGGGTTCGATTCCTCAGCACCACATAAGCAAAAAGAAAAAAAAAGCCAGAAGTGGCGCTTTGGCTCAAGTGGTAGAGTGCTAGCATTGAGCTGAAGAGCTGAGGGACAGTGCCCAGGCCTAGAGTTCAGGCTCCACTACCAGACCCAACAAAAAAGTTTTGTGGGGCTAGGAATGTGGCTTAGTGGTAGCGTGCTTGCCTAGCATGCATGAAGCCCTGGGTTCAATTCCTTAGTACCACATAAACAGAAAAAGCTGAAATGGTGCTGTGGCTCAAGTAATAAAACACTAATCTTGAGTACAGACAGGCTCAGGGACAATGCCCAGGCCCTGAGTTCAAGCCCCAGGCCCAGCAAAAATAAAAAATCTTGTGTGCATGTGTATTTATGTGCCCTATTAGTTGGGCTTGAACTCAGGGCCTCTTTCACTTGGCTTTTTAGCTCAATGTGAGGGCTCTACAACCTGAGTAACACCTCTACTTTCAGCTTTTTGTTTGTTAATTTGAGATAAGAGTCTCATGGGCATTTCTGCCTGGGGTTGGCAATACTCAAATCTCAGTCTCTTGAGTAGTAGCTAGGATTACAGATGTGATGCACCAACACCCAGCTTGCCTTTTGGTACTTGAGAGCCAATATTATTGTTTTAATAGTTTTATTACTTTGAAGTAGATTTTCATTTCAAAATGAACTCTAATCCATACCAACTTCTGGTTTCATTTGTTTCATTGATTCATTTGCTCAATCTCGTGGCAAAGTTCAAAAAGAATAAGACCTCTGTTTCAGTTTGCCTTCCTCCTCATTTTCAGCTTCAGGAAGGGTTTGATTCAAGACCTAGCAGGGGTCAGACAAAGAGGGGCTTAACTGAAAGCTAACAGAGTTGATTTCATACCAAGACTGTATGTCCCACAATTTCCTACTGCCACCCAAGTCTCTCCCATCAGAACATGCTAAGTCCCTTCACCAAGAACCTACCATGACCTTTATGTCCCCCCTCCCGCTCCTATAGAGGCTGTGGTCAGCAGTGGGCGAGTGGAGAAATCCCCACACGAACAGGAGATCAAATTTTTTGCAAAGGTGAGAGGTAGGCTCAAAAGCTGGAGAGAGCTGGGAAACTGAAGGGTTTTCTCCCATTCCTCACTGGTTCCCCTCCTCTTCCCCTCCATCTCTAGATCCTGCTTCCCTTGATCAACCAATACTTCACCAACCACTGCCTCTATTTCCTGTCCACTCCAGCCAAAGTCTTGGGCAGTGGTGGCCATGCCTCCAACAAGGAGAAAGAAATGATCACCAGGTGAATGGCCTGTGACCTCTGATCCTGACCCCAAACTCACAGGGTCCTAGATATCTTGGACTCCTTACTCCCAACCTTGGTCCCTTTTTTTGTTTTATGTCAGTTTTGGGGCTTGAACTCAGGGCCTGGGTGCTGTCCCTTAGTTCTTTCTCTCAAAGCTAGTGCTCTTTCACTTCAGCCACAGCTCTACTTCTGGCTTTTTGGTGGTTCACTGGCGATGAAAGTCTCACAGACTTTCCCGCCTGGACTGACTTTGAACCATGAGTCTTAGAGCTACTTCTGAGTAGCTAGGATTGTAGACATGAGCCGCTGATGCCTGGCCTTCAGGCTCCATGCTGGATGCTAATCAGTGGTAACTCCCCAAGCAGAAGCAATGACAGGCAAGGGTAACTTACTGTGCAGGTTTTCCTGTATCTGATGGGTTTCCCAGGATGCAACACTCTCAGATGGACAACCAGGTCACCTTGACAAAAGCACACCCCCCACACACAGCATGGCACATGCCACTTATTGCCTGTGACTCTTGTTCATCTCTCTGCCCCTCCCCTTCTCTGTCAATTGGTTTCCTCCTGGTCTTCTGTCTTCTCTCCTTATCTTTTCTTCCCCTGTCTCCTCTCCATGCTCTCCTTGTCTCCTGGCTTCTTGTCCTTCTGTCCATTTGTCCCATTCTCTCTCTTCAGCCTTTTCTGCAAACTGGCTGCCCTTGTCCGCCACCGTGTCTCTCTCTTTGGTAAGTTGCCTTGCTCTTAAGCCCATCTGCCAGATCTCTCTTCTTTTTTCACTGACCCCCACTGGAAGAAAGCTATCCAGGTTTGGCCTTCCTTGTTCTTCCTCTGGATGGGGACTGCATGGTCCTGGGGTCAGGACAGTAACTGAGACAGCCCTGGGCTGTGCCAACCCACTGTTCCTAGACATTGACAGCACAGAGAGTTCATGGCTGGGATGAAGGAGGCCTGGGGGGGGGGAGCCCTGGTGAGGTGAGAGTGGGCTTGCATGTTGACCTAACCGGAGGTGGGATCAGAGAGGGAAAGGTAGGGTGGAGATGGAGGGAGGTACTTCCTTCCTGCTCTTGACACCTCTTTCCCACCCAGGGACAGATGCTCCTGCTGTGGTCAACTGTCTTCACATTCTGGCACGTTCCCTGGATGCCAGGTAGGGCTATGTAGCCCCCCACCTTAACCACCCCCCCTTCTTACATTGTCTGAAATTAGTACTTGCTGATTCTAGAACTAGGGTTTTTCCACTTTCCTCCTAGGACGGTGATGAAGTCAGGCCCCGAAATCGTGAAGGCTGGCCTCCGCTCCTTCTTTGAAAGCGCCTCGGAGGACATCGAGAAGATGGTGGAGAACCTGCGGCTGGGCAAGGTGTCCCAAGCACGCACACAAGTGAAGGGCGTGGGCCAGAACCTCACCTACACCACTGTGGCCCTGCTGCCTGTCCTTACCACCCTCTTCCAGCACATTGCCCAGCATCAGTTTGGAGATGATGTCATCTGTAAGGACCCCTGAGCAGGGGTGGAGGTGGGGTCAGCTTGGCCAGTAACAACACCCATCGCTGGTGCCTGGCATGGTCCCCAGGTGTTTAAGTTTGTGGCTTTTTGTTGCTGTTGGTGGTGGTGATTGTGGGCTTGAACTTAGGACCTGGGCAGTGTCCTTGAACCATTGCTCAAGACTAGCACTCTACCACTTTGGGCCACAGCGCCACTTCCCATTTTCCGGTGGTTCATTGAAGATAAGAATCTCACAGACTTTCTTTCCCAGGCTGGCTTTGAACCGTACTCTTCAGATCTCAGCCTCTTGAGTAGCTAGGATTACAGATGTGAGCCATCAGTGCCCGGGTAAATGTATGGCTTTCTTGTTGGAAGTAAAGCACCAAGTGAATGGTAGGAGACAGTAAAAGTTAACTGAGGTGTGAGTTCAGCTGCTTGACCAAAAACCCTAAGTCACTGAAGCTCAAACAAGCTAGAACTTTCCTTTTCTTGTAACACTACGTGTAGGCGGGTCTTAAAGTCATAAGCCCAGGTTTCTGCTATCTCATTTCTCTGCTTTCCATGGAATGCTGCCTTTCCTACATGATCCCATATGCCTTACTACGTTCTTCTTCAAGGCAGTGGGAGAGGAGAAAAAAAGGAGGAGCTGGGCATAGTAGCTCAGCAATTCCAACTCCTCCAGAGGCTGAGATCAGGAGAATTTTGCTTTGAAGTCAGCCCTAGGGAACAAGTTGATGAGACCATCATTTCTACCAATAAAAAGCTGGGCATGGTGGTTCACACCTGTCATCCCAGCTATGTGGATAATGTAAATAGGAGGATCACAGCCCAGGCCAACCCAGGGAAAAAACAAGACCCTATTTGAAAAGTAAAAAAAGCAAAAAGGGCTAGTGGTATGACTCAAGTTATTGAGTATCTGCTCAGCAAGTGCAAGGCCCTGGGTGCAAACCCCAGTAGAGCAAACCAAAAAGGATACAAAGCAATGTGGAGACACTACAGCTCTTTTTTTTTTTTTTTTTTTTGCTAGTTGTAAGGCTTGAACTTAGGGCCTGGGTTCTGTCGCTGAGTTTCTTTTACTCAAGGCTAGCACTCTACCACTTGAGCCACAGTGCCACTTCAGGGTTTCTCTGTTTATGTTGTTCTGAGGAATCGAACCCAGGGCTTCATGCATGCTAGGCCAGCACTCTACCACTAAGCTACAATTCTGAGCCCACTATAGCTCTTTTAAAGAAACAATCTAGAAGAGGCCCTCTGTGGATCAGCATGTTGTCCTTGGGATACAAGAGAAACAAGGAAGAACAAAGATTAATTTTGGCTCCTTGTTTCAAAAGATTTCCATCTGTGGTCACATGGGGTCACGTGAACATTGATCATTATTTGTTAATTTTTTGGTGGCACTAGGGATTGAACTCAGGCTCTGTGCTTGCTAAACAAGGGCCTCCAACCCTAATTATCCTCATTTTATAGACAGGGAAACTGAGGCTAGGAGAGAGAACTGGTCCTTGCTCAGGTCAAAAGCATATATGACAAGCAGGCTGGATGACCACCACTATTATCCATTGCCAATGGATTTAAGACAAGGCAGGGGTAAGCATGACGGGCTCATCCCAGACCCTCTCTCTTTCTCCTCAGTGGATGATGTCCAGGTCTCTTGCTACCGAACACTGTGCAGTATCTACTCACTGGGAACCACCAGGAACCCGTATGTGGAAAAGTAAGGAGAGGGAGGACATAGGTTGAGCGTTGGGTATGTATAGGATTGGAATAGAAAGATCAGGAACATGGATTAGAAATGTGGGTGGTGTGGGAAAAACTGTGTGTGTCGGGGGAGAGGTGATGGTCATAATTTCTGCACTGGCCAACTCTAAAGCAGCTGCAGTTCCAATGATGGCCACACGAGGGAAGTCAAGGGAAGACTAGCTAAAGAGCTGGAAGCCACAAGGCCTGGTAGACTATGAGAGCCAGGCTCTAGCGGCCCGGTAGCTTCTTTCTGGAAACAAGCTTGCGGTAGTAGGCAACATGCAGGAATGGAACAGTGTACAGGAGCCACATCATGCTAAGAACTCTGGGGAGGAGCATTACAACAAGCAGAGTAGTTCTTCCCAAAGGACTGGGCTGCACTCATGGGTGGCCACTGTTCTGTTCCAAAGGATTCTGGGAGAAAGCATTTCTATGTAGGATGGGACTAGGACCCAGGACTTGAAGAAGCTAAGCTCAGGTTCTCTTCCAGGCTACGGCCAGCCCTTGGGGAGTGTCTGGCCCGCTTGGCTGCAGCCATGCCAGTGGCATTTTTGGAACCTCAGCTGAATGAGTACAATGCCTGCTCCGTGTACACGACAAAGTCACCGCGGGAGAGGGCCAGTGAGTTGTGTGGACTGGGGGATGGGGGGCACATTCTGCTTAGCATGCTGCCTCCAAGTCTGAAATATCAAAGACTGAGGATTCCCCAGGGCAGGGATACCCCACACTCAGGAATCCTAGAGCCCAAGAGGCCACTCCAAAGGCCATTAAATCAGAATTGAGAAATCAGGGTTGGAATTTGGAGCCTGAGGTTTATTTTGGAGATGGTGACCATCCAGCATATAGGGACTTTCCAGCATTCTTGAGCTCAGAGTGTGGAAGGAAAGACATAGGTTCATTCTTCGTTATTCATTCAACAAGTATAGATAGAGCGCCCCCTATGGACGTGCCCCTAAATTAGACATGAAATTCAGCAGTGACCAAACCAGATAGAAATACATCACATCTCAGTTAGGAGGAAAGGGGGGAAAGGGAGGTGTTAAAATGTGTGTCTCAGGGACTAAGAGGCAGGAAATTTCTTTTTTTTTTTTAAACCAGTCCTGGGGCTTGAACTCAGGGCCTGGGCATTGTCCCTGAATTTCTTTTTTTGCTCAAGGCTAGCACTCTACTTGAGCTAGCACCACTTCCATCCTTTTGTGTTTATGTGGTACTGAGGAATTGAACCCAGGGCTTCATGCATGCTAGACAAGCACTCTGCCACTAAGCTACATTCCCAGCCCGAAGATTTTCTTTTAATCAAACTTTTCCTTTTAGAAATTTGCCATGCTTGCAATCCCCAGGGCTCAGCCCCTGGCAGGCAAATGGAAGAGAGCTAAAGTTCATTGTTTCAAGAGAGAGAATTTGGATGTGGGGTTCAGATAGATGAGATTGGGGACTGAATGGATTTGGGGGGAAATTGACATAGCAGGGTGGGGTGTGAGCAATTTTAGGAGTAAAGTTTTCTAGGAGTGATACTGGAGTTAAGTATAATTTTAGGGACTAGAAAGGAAGGCTTGCCAGGTGTCCTACTCAGGATGCTTAAGATCTGAAGCTCACAGTTTGAAGCCAGCCCAGGCAGAAAAAGTCCATGAGACTCTGATCTCCAGTAACCATCAAAAAGGCTGGAAGTAGAGTCATGGCTTAAGTGGTAGAGCATTAGTCTTGAGCAAAAGAAAAACATTCAGGCCAGGTGTCGGTGGCTCATGCCTGTGATCCTAGCTACTTAGGAGGCTGAGATCTGAGGATCTTGGTTCAAAGCCAACCGGGGCAAGGAAAGCCCATAAAACTCTTGTCTCCAATAAACCACTAAAAAACCAGAAGTGGCGCTGTGGCTCAAGTGGTAGAGCATTCACCTTGAGCTGAAGAGCTCAGGGACAGTGCCCAGGCCCAGAGTTCAAGTGCCACAACTGACAAAAACAAAAGAAAAAGAAAAAACCTTAGGGACATTGTTCAAGCCCTAATACAAGAAAGGAAAGAAAGAAGGAAGGAAGAGAGAGAGAGAAAGGAAAGAAAGAGAGGAAGGAAGGAAGCGAGGGAAGAAAGGGGAGAGAGAGAGAGAAAGAAAGAAAGAAAGGGAGGAAGAAAGGGAGGAAGGGAAAGGAAAGGAGGAGGAAGGCAGGTCTGGGGTGTGAAGTATTTAGGGGATACTGTGAGAAACTCTGGGATTGGAAGGTGGCATTGGAGGAATGGGCTCTGGAAAACCAGTTTAGATGGGGATTTCTAATGTATTGTGGGGGAGATCAGGGCACTGCAGCTTTGGGGTAATGAATTGGCATGACCTAACCTCTCTTTGCACCCCAGTCCTGGGGCTCCCTAACAGCGTGGAGGAAATGTGTCCTGACATCCCAGTGTTGGAGCGGCTCATGGCAGATATTGGAGGACTGGCCGAGTCGGGGGCCCGCTACACAGAGATGCCACACGTCATTGAGATCACCCTCCCCATGCTCTGTAGCTACCTGCCCCGCTGGTGGGAACGTGGGCCCGAGGCTCCCCCACCAGCCCTGCCTGCCGGGGCCCCGCCTCCCTGCACAGAGGTCACCTCTGACCACCTCAACTCTCTGCTGGGGAACATCCTGCGAATCATTGTCAACAACCTGGGGATCGATGAGGCCTCATGGATGAAGCGACTTGCTGGTGAGTCAGAGGGCATGAAGATTTGGGAGGGGGAGCGGAGGGTGCGGAATGATGGGGTCCTTGGACCACATGATCCAAAAGAGAGAACTAGATCTTAAGATATCCTGGGATTGCCGGGAGCTGGTGGCTCACGCCTGTAATCCTAGCTACTCAGGACACTGAGATCTGAGGATCGCGGTTCAAAGCCAGCCTGGGCAGGAGAGACCATGAGACTCCTATCTCCAATAAACCACCAGAAAACTGGAAGTGGCGCTGTAGCTCAAGTGGTAGAGTGCTCGCCTTGAGCTGAAGAGCTGAGGGACAGCGCCCAGGCCCAGAGTTCAAGCCCCACGGCCGACAAAAAAAAAAAAAGATATCCTGGGATTGGGAGAGCTAAGAGTGTAGGTCAAAGGCTAGGATCAGAATCAGGTTCTCAGGGTAAATTTGGGGTGGATGGAGTCCTTCAGGAAGGACACTGAATTTCTGAAGGGCTGAGGATGCAGTCAGAGGTTAAGAGCTCAGTCAGAACCCTCATCCCCTTATACAAAGGATCAGAGGACTAGTTCAAGAGCCTGGCTATGAACAGTGATCAGGAAATAGGTCTTTTTTTTTTCCCCAGTCCTTCAGCTTAAACTCAGGGCCTGGTCACTATCCCTGAGCCTCTTTGTACTCAAGGCTAGTACTCTGTCACTTGAACCACAGCACCACTTTTGGCTTTTTCTAAGTAGTTTATTGCAGATAAACAAGCCCCATGACCAGCAAAAAAAGAAAAAGAAAAGAAAGGTGGGAGGCAGAGAGGGAGGGAAGGAAGAAGGAAGAAAGGAAAGTAGAAGAGAGGGAGGGAGGGAGAAGGGAGGAAGGAAAGAAAGAAGGGAAGGAGGGAGGGAGGGAGGGAAATGAGTTCTTTAAAACACTGGGATTCTTGGTTTGGAAGCTCCATCAGAAGAATTCAGGAGTGTAGTTTAGAGTCCAGGGTCACAAGTCAGAAGCTGCCATAGTAAGCCAGAGGCCAGGCTGGGGATGTAGCTTCGTGGTAGAGCCCCTGACTACATAGGTAAAGCCCTGGATTCCAGCAAAACACACACACACACACACACACACACACAATACACACACACACACACACACACACAGAAGTCAAGGGGGTCATAGAAATCACAGTGGGACAAGATGCTAAATATAGGCACACCAGCTCACAGGTTAAAGACTGAGGTTAGAGTCATGTTGGTTTAGGATAACTTATCAGGTTAGAATTTACTAATTGGAGGTCAGAGGTCAGGGAATGGGCGACAGGATGGGACTATGTCAAAGATTAAGGCTTGGGGTCAGAAGTAGAATCAAGGTGGGCACCGTTGGCTCACACCTGCAATCCCAGTTGCTCAGGAGGCTGAGATCTGAGGATCACCATTCAAAGCCAGACTGGGAAAGAAAGTCTGTGAGGCTCTTATCTCCAATAAACCACTCAGAAAAAGCCAGAAGTGGTGCTGTGGCTCAAGTGATAGAATGCTAACCTTGGGCACAAAGAGGTTTGGGATCAGTGCCCAGACCCTGAGTTCAAGTCCCAAGACTGATTAAAAAAAAAAAAAAAGAATCAGAGGATGCTGGAGTCAGAGGTTGGAGGTCAAATGACAACTGCAGGTTCTAGGAAACAGGTCAGTAGTTGTAAGCTGAGAACTGAGGTGAGGGGCTAGGTTAGAGGTCACACATGAGTGACCCCTCCCTTCTCCATGTTTCTGCAGTGTTTGCTCAGCCCATCGTGAGCCGTGCTCGGCCGGAGCTGCTTCGCTCCCACTTCATCCCCACCATAGGGCGGCTGCGCAAGCGGGCAGGGAAGGTGGTGGCTGAGGAGGAGCAACTGCGCCTGGAAGCCAAGGCCGAAGCAGAGGAGGGCGAGCTCCTGGTGCGAGATGAGTTCTCAGTCCTCTGCCGGGACCTGTATGCCCTCTACCCACTGCTCATCCGCTATGTGGACAACAACAGGTCAGTGTATCCTCAGCCCACCATCCCCACTCTCCCTCCATTCCCACCTGGCACTACCTGATGCTCTCACCCTCCTTCCTTGCTCCCTGACTTTTCTTACCCTAGCTCAGAACAACCCAGTCCCCTTGGCTTTCCTTCTACTCTTTTGTGTGTGTGGGGGGGGTGCATGCCTGTAGGTGTGCCAGTACTGGGACTTAGAGCCTTGAGCTCTTGCCTGGCTTTTTTTTTTGGGGGGGGTCCCGTCATGGGGCCTGAACTCTGGGCCTGGGTGCTGTCCCTCAGTTCTTCAGCTCAAGGCTAATGCTCTACCACTTGAGCCACAGTACCATTTCGGCTTTTTCTGCTTATGTGGTGCTGAGGAATGGAACCCAGGGCCTCATGCATGCAAGGCAAGCGCTTTACCACTGAGCCACCTTCCCAGCCCATTGCCTGGCTTTTTTTTTTGTGCAAGGCTAGTGCTCTACCACTTGAGCCACACCTCCATCTGGCTTTTTGCTGGTCCGTTGTTGATAGTTTGCCTGGGCTGGCTCCCAACCTCGATCCTCAGATCCCAGCATCCTGAGTAGCTAGGATTACAGGTGTGAGCTACCAGCTGCTTCTGCTCCTTGAACCTCCCTCCTCACCAGAATGGCTGAAGCATCTCTCTTAGTAGTTCCCCTTCTCTGGGGATCCCTGCCCCCACCAACAATCCCTTTTCCTACCTAGGGCGCACTGGTTGACAGAGCCCAATCCCAACGCAGAGGAGCTATTCAGGATGGTGGGCGAAATCTTCATCTATTGGTCCAAGTCCCACGTGAGTTCCCCCACACACACTGCTGTCCTCTCCCTCAGCCAGTAACTATGATCTCCTTCTTGGTCTCCCTGACTGGGCCTCAATGTTGCTCTCCTTTCTAGAACTTCAAGCGTGAGGAGCAGAACTTCGTGGTCCAGAATGAGATCAATAACATGTCCTTCCTGACTGCTGACAACAAAAGCAAAATGGCCAAGGTAGGGAATGGCTTTGTTTGGGAAAGAGGACCTAGCAGGGGAAAAGAGAATGAGCTACCTGTCCTGTTCTATACTATAGTCCCTGTATCCCTCAGAGCACCTCTTCTTGTCCCATGTCCTACTTCCTCCTCCCTATCACCCCTTTCCCTCCTCCCTCCCCATGTCCTTCCTCATCTCCCTCCTCCTTGGCCCTCATCTCCATCCTCCTCCCCATTTCCCATCTCCCCCCACCCCGCTTTCTTCTTCTCTCCATTATCCCACATCCTCCCTTGCCATCCTCTCCCCACCCCATCCTCCTCAAAACTGGGGGTTATAAAAAACCCACCCTCCCCTACCGAAGGTCTGAAATGCCCAGCTAAAAGAGGGATGGCAGAGTGGGGCAGATTAACTGGGAGGGGGGTGTTAACAATTTGGAGTTGGGCCCGGGGTTCTCTGTGGGGCTGGGGTAACCCTTCTTGTCTCTGTCTGCAACCCGGTGAAGCAGGCGGGAGATGTACAGGTCAGCCCCACATCTGGAACCTTTTGCATGGCTCTTGGCCAATCCCCTTCCCCTCTCCCCAAAAAGCTCCCCATCCCTCCAGAACTCCCCTATTCCTACACCCAACCTTTGTCCTTAGTTCCCAGACTCTTCCTTCTTTTCCTCTTCCCCCTCCCCCACCATTTACCTCCCTTCCCAACTCTTGGCTTTTGGCGATTTGTTGATTTATCTTTTTTTTTTTTTTGGGTTTTTGTTACCCAAAAAAAAAAAAAAAAAGCAACCTTCAGCTTTCCCTCAAGCATCATGGGCTGAGGTCAAGGGGAGTGAGGGGAGGGATAGGGGCATGGTTGAGATGGCGGCTCCGGTGGCCATGCACTGGTGTAAGGCTTGGAATGGGATGGACTTGGGTAGAATTTGTGTGACCTTGGCTAAGTGTCATCCTGTTGAGCCTCTGATGACATCCAGCCAGTGGCCCTGAAGCCCGGAACCTTGTGAGAACTCAATGCAATGCTGCATGTGTGGCCTTCAGGAGTGCCTGGCACTTGGGTCCTGCTCAAGTATTACCAGCTGCCATGGACGGTATACTGGCCGTAGCTTGTCACCAACGCTTCTTGTTGGCATGACTTAGGACAACCCTGGCCAGGGAGCCCTGCACTTAAGACTCCAGAACACTGCTTTGGATGTCTGTTGTCTCTGCTTCCAGATCTTTTTATATCTCTCTTGCCTCTTCTGTTTCTTTTAGCTCTTTGTCTGTCATCTCTCAGTGGCTCTCTCTTTTTGCTCCCCAACTTCTCTGATCTCTTGGGATTCTTGGGTGGGCCTGCATCTTTATTTGATTCTTGGGAACTTGGTCTTGGGATATGAAGTGTGAAGTTGTGCATGTTGGAAATGGTGGGTTTTATGTATTGGAATTTTGCAAGGGATTCTGGGAGAGGGTCATCCAAGGTGGAGAAAATGCTCAGCATTTGAGAGACATTTGAAAGGGTTTGGGTTATTAATTAGTTATGTGAGCCACACACCAGTGGCTCATGCCTATAATCCTAACTACTCAGGAGGTTGAGATCTGAGTTTCACAGTTCAAAGCCAGCCTGGGCAGAAAAGTCCGTAAGACTCTTATCTCAACCAAACCACCAGAAAACCGGAAGTGGCACTGTGGCTCATGTGGTAGAGCACTTGCCCTGAGCTGAAGAGCTCAGGGACAATGCCCAGGCCCAGAGTTCAAGCCCTGCAACCTACAAAAAAAAATTAGTTATGTGAGGTACAGAGCTGGGGTTGGGGTGAGAATAACCTTGTGGATTGAGGTCGAGGCTGTTGGGGGTTGGAAGGAGGATGCCTGGCACCCAGGCTGTAGTTGGCTACAGGTTTGAAACTGGGGCAGGGAGTTGAGACATGAGCAGACACTGAGCACTATATCCTCATAGTCAGGTGGCTCGGACCAGGAACGGACCAAGAAAAAGCGCCGGGGGGACCGGTACTCTGTGCAGACCTCACTGATCGTGGCTACACTCAAGAAGATGTTACCCATTGGCCTGAACATGTGTGCCCCCACTGACCAGGACCTCATTGGGCTGGCCAAGGCCCGCTATGCCCTGGTGATTTCTCATCCCCACCTAGCAGCTTGCTCAGCCCTTGGGACCCTGGGATACCATGGAACCCCTGAAGGCTCTCCTGTACTAAATCTTTCACCATAACCTTGAACCTTGTGTTCTTTGGGATACCTGGAACTATAAAGAGTCTTAGAATTTGGGTGCCTGTGGCTCACAGTTGTAATCCTAGCTGAGATCTGAAGATCATGGTTTGAAGCCAGCCTGGGCAGGAAAATCTGTGTAACTCTCATCTCCAATTAACCAGCAAAAGGTCAGAAGGAAAGCTGTGGTTCAAGTAGTAGGGTACTAGCCTTGAGCACAAAAGTTCAGGGATAATGACTAGGCTCTGAGTTCAAGCCCCAGGAACAGCATTCTCAGAGTCCAGCAGACTGAAAAAGCTTCCTAACGGGCACCCAGTAAAACCACAAACCTAAGACCTATAAGAACTCTAAGACTCCTAAGGCATACCACAGAACCCCACCAACACCACTGCTAAAACTGCAGAGCCCCTGATCTTCCTCTGAGTCCTCCAAGACCATTAGGATCTCCTAAATCTCTTGGAACCCACTGAGCTCTCTGTGACCCCTCTGATTAACCTAATACTCTCAGAATTGAACATCTGGGTTCCCACTAAGCCTTCACTCCAGCTTACTCCCTCTTGTCTTCAGGACCCTGTTCATATGGATTCTATTGACACCCAGATAAGCCCCCCCACACACACAAGGACTTTCAGGGACCTCCTGAGCCCCTATGGTCTTGAGTAGCCCTCCCTCCACAGAATCCTAATGATCCTTTTCCCAAAACCACACCCAAACCTCTGAGGTCTCAAGGTTCTGGGGATCAACTGACCCAACTCCCTAAGCTTTCTGAGATCCCAAAGGAGCCTCCTAAAACACCTCCCCCACTTACCTTTTGTACAGCACAACCTCAGGAATCCTCTTAGAATCTTCCAAGACACCCCTGCCCCCACCAAGACCCTGCTAAGCATCTGATAACTAACGCTTCTGGAATGCTAAAGATCAGAAGGACAGACTAGGAATGTGGCTTAGTGGTAGAGTGCTTGCCTAGCAAGCATGAAGCCCTGGGTTCGATTCCTTAGTACCACATAAAGAGAAAAAGGCAGAAGTGATACTGTGGCTCAGGTAGTAGAGTAGCTAGCCTTGAGCACAGAGAAGCTCAGGGACAGTGCCCAGGCCCTGAATTCAAGCCCCAGGACTGGCAAAAAAAAAATTATAAGGACCCGTTGGAGTCCTGGGACTCCTGGGACTCCAAAGGCCCCTTCTCCTCCAGGATCTCCAGCTCCACTTAGAATCTGTTGAGTCTTGTTGGGATCCCAAAGCATCCTCCAGGGTCCCATAACTGCTTGCTTTGGTCTTTGACCTTAAGAAACTTCCTCCCTATTGACCCCTCCTTGGGCCCTTGAACACAGTGGCTTAGTTGACCTTCCCTACTACTTGTGATCTCTGCTGACCTTGCTGAATCCCTCACAGCCCTTCCCCACCCCACCCCCCAAAAAAGTCTCCTGACTCTCGTTGTACCCTCTCACCCCCTATCATCTTTCCACTTGTTTGACCTTTGGTGATTTGTCCTGTCTCCCCCTCCATCCTGCCAGACCCCTATCCTTCTATCCTTTCAGGCTGTCTCTATGACTCCCTTGTCAATCAAACACTCCTCTCTGACCACTGCTCTCCTTTGGGTCCTCCCCCAACATACAACCCCTCAGCAGGTCCTGGGGTGGTGAGTCTAGAGGGGAAAGGGCTGTGGGCCAAAGATGAAGCTGGGGCCTCAAGTGACCCAATGGGTCAATGTCTTTCCAGAAAGACACAGATGAGGAGGTCCGAGAATTCCTACAAAACAACCTCAACCTGCAGGGAAAGGTATGTCTCAGTCTGCAGCTGGAAGGGGTGGGCCAGAAGAATAATCACCATGATAGCAAATGCTTCCAGCACTGTCTATCTTTGAGGCATAGAAGAAGGACCTTAATCACATTCCTCCATGGAAGCCTGGCAGTGGAAATGGGATACATGGCTGAGGAGGGCGACCCTGGGGTTGGAGAATTTGAGCTAAGCAAGAAGATCCCTCATGCAGTTGGCCTTGTACCTTGCCTCTCCACCCTAGGTTGAAGGCTCCCCATCTCTACGCTGGCAGATGGCCCTGTATCGGGGCCTCCCAGGCCGGGAGGAGGATGCTGATGACCCAGAGAAAATTGTACGCAGAGTCCAGGAAGTATCTGCAGTTCTCTACCACCTCGAGCAGGTAGGTAGGGCCCAAGAGTTCTTATTGCTGAGTAGCAGGTCTGTGGGTGGGAGTTTGAGCTGGCCCTGGACTTGTGAGTAGAGCCTACAGGTGAAGCTTTTGTCTATGGGTGGAGCCTCAGCTGGAGCCTTGAGTGTGAGGTGGGGCTTAGGATGCAAATAGGGCTTTATGAGAAGGACCTAGTGTTCCATTTGGCATCCAGTTAGTAGGATTAACTAGAACTAAAGGGGGACATCAAACTTTGGGACTAGGGATGGGGCCTACTAGAAGAAGATACCTTGAGTCTGGAGACAGGGCTGAAGATGGGAAGTTGGTACTGGATATAGATGTAGCTACACATGTGTAGTTTCATCCAGACCTGGGAGGGGGACAAGGCCTGGGACATGACAGACTGACTTCTGCCCTCCAGACCGAGCACCCTTACAAGTCCAAGAAGGCAGTGTGGCACAAGCTCTTGTCCAAACAACGTCGGCGGGCAGTTGTGGCCTGTTTTCGCATGACACCCCTGTACAATCTGCCCACGTAAGGCCCCCAAGAAGGAAGGGAGCCCAAAGGGCCCCCAAGGAGAAAGGAATCTGGGAGCCAGGAGGATGGAGAGCCATATTATATATGGGGGCATGAAGATGGTCGAGAGTGGAATGTGGGGGGTGGGATGTGTGGGAGGCAGGGGAATGTGGAAGAGGTGGGGTCTCAGTGACACTCAGACTTCTTCCTTGCAGACACCGGGCATGTAACATGTTCTTGGAGAGCTACAAGGCTTCATGGATCCTGACTGAGGACCACAGTTTTGAGGACCGCATGATAGATGACCTTTCAGTGAGTAGTGGGGCTGCCTGGGGAAGTGGGGGCAAGACGGGGTAAGGGCACCTTCCACATCAAGAGCTATGAAAATGGGAGTTGGTGGTTTACACCTGTAATCCCAACTATACAATGGGTAGAATCATGTGGGTTTTTGTTTTTGTTTCTGTTTTTTTGTCGGTCACAGGGCTTGAACTTTGGACCTGGGCACTTCCTCAGTTCAAGGCGAGTGCTCTACCACTTGAGCCACAGCGCCACTTCCCCACTTCTGTTTTTCTGGTGGTTTATTGGAGATAAGAGTCTCACACACGTTCTTGCCCAGACTGGCTTTGAACCTCAATCCTCAAATCTCAGCCTCCTGAGTGGCTAGGATTATAGGTGTGAACCACCAACACTGGTTGTGTTTTTGTTTTTGTTGTTGACTGTGGGGCTTGAACTCCCAATTTGGGGTCTGTCCCTGAGCTCTTTTGCCCAAGGCTAGTGCTCTACCACTTTGAGTCACAGGGTTACTTCTGGTTTTTCCATTGTTAATTGGAGATAAAAGAGTCTCACAGGGACTTTTCTGCCCTGGCTGGCTTTGAACCACAATCCTCAGATTTCAGCCTCCTGAATAGCTAGGATTATAGGTGTGAGCCACTGGATCATGTTTTGGAGCTACCCTCCTAACCCCTAAGCCCTGCACAAAGTTAGGTATTATCTCAACCAATAAAGCTGGGCATTGTATAGTATGTCAGTCATCCGAGGAACATGGGAGGCATAAGTAGGAAGAGCCAAATCCAAACCTGTAAAAGTGTGAGGCCCAATCTGAAAAATAACTAAGGCTGAAAAACTAAGATGTGGCTCAAGTGGTAAAGAGTGTGATGCCCTGAGTTCAAATTCCAGTATCACCAAAAAAAGGGGGGGGGAGAGAGGAGTAGGGGAAGTATAGAAATGCATCCCTTGTATTGAGTAGCACCAGGATATATGATGTAGGTGAAGAGAAAAAAAAACTCCAGGCCTGAGAATGTGGCTTAGTGGTAGAGTGCTTGCCTAGCATGTATGAAGCCCTGGGTTTGATTCTTCAGTACCACATAAACAGAAAAAAGCCAGAAGGGGCGCTGTGACTCAAGTGGTAGTATGCCAGCCTTGAGCAAAAGAAGCTCAGAGACAACGCCCAGACCCTGAGTTCAAGCCCTAGGACTGGCAAAACAACAACAACCAAAAACCCTCCAGCCCACCAGGGCTATGAGAGAAGACTAGAGGATACTCCAGGAACCCCTTCCCTAAGATTCATCCTCTTCCTTCAGAAAGCTGGGGAGCAGGAGGAAGAGGAGGAAGAAGTAGAGGAGAAGAAGCCAGACCCCTTGCACCAGTTGGTCCTGCACTTTAGCCGCACTGCTCTGACTGAAAAGAGGTGAGGACCTTTTCCAGCCTCATGTTCTGGGTTGATTTTACCAAGGCAGTTAGGAAGCTGTGATAAGATAGATGAGATGTAGTCCCCACTCCTCTGGGTTCCAACCGTCTCTCTCTACTTACTTCCTCAGTAAACTAGACGAGGATTACCTATACATGGCATACGCTGACATCATGGCAAAGGTAAGTTCCTGCCCCTGTAGTACTTGGCCCCTGACTGAGCTAAGGGTGGACAGATGGGGTATCGCCTTCATTTTTTATCACCATTAATTGATGCCACTCCCCAGAGCTGCCATATGGAGGAGGGAGGGGAGAATGGCGAAGCTGAAGGAGAAGAAGAGGCTGAGGTGTCTTTTGAGGTAGGTTGGGGCCAGGTAGTTGAGACCATTATATATATATAACGGTCAGCACCCAAGAGATAACACCCAAGACCAGAGTTTGAGCCCCAGGACCACGCCCCAGAAGGATGCCAGGTGTGGTGGCTCATGCCTGTCATCTCAGGAGACTGAGATCTGAGGATCACTGTTCAAAGCCAGCCCGGGCAGGAAAGTCCATGAAACTCTTACCTCCAATAAACCACCAGAAAACTGGAAGTGGTGCTGTGGCTCAAGTGGTAGAGTGCTTGCCTTGAGCTGAAGAGCTGAAGGACAGTGCCTAGGCCCAGAGTTCAAGCCCCATGACTGACCAAAAAAAAAAAAAGAGAGAGAGAGAAGAGGAGGAAGAGGAGGAGGAGGGTGAGGAGGGGGAGGAGGAAGAAAGACAAAGGAGAAGCAGTTCATGGGGCCCAAGTTAAGGCTGCTCCATGCCCAGCTTCAATCTGTGTAGCCCTGTGCCTAGACCCTGCTCTAAGTACAGGGTACAAATGAAAGACATAAGTCCCCAGGGACAGGAAGAGCTCACAATTGAAAGGGGGGTGCTTTCTGGAAGTGTCAGGCCCTCAGAGGGCAGAGGTGAGGGATGAGGCTGTGGGGGGACAGGCTAGACTCATTAGGGCTCATGGCCTCCTTTCTGCCCCAGGAGAAGGAGATGGAGAAGCAGAGGCTGTTGTATCAACAGTCACGGCTGCACAACCGGGGGGCCGCTGAGATGGTACTACAGATGATCAGTGCCTGCAAAGGTGCTCGTCTGTGCCACGTTCATTCTGTTCCTCTGAGACACCCTACCTGTTCTTCTCCTCTCCAGTGCCCCCATTCCCTGTAAACACAGAAGGCACACTTTGCCCCCCCCACCTCCCTACCATTCCCCATCTCTTGGATGGTTGTTGGGTGGTAACAGCCAATCAGAGGAACTGCTTTTACTCCCGCTTTGCTCCCTGTAGGTGAAACGGGCGCCATGGTGTCCTCCACCCTGAAGTTGGGCATCTCCATCCTTAATGGAGGCAATGCAGAGGTGCAGCAGGTACCAGAGGCACAGGGACTGGGGAGGAGGCTTCAGGGAGGAGGGAGCTGCCTACTTCCCTGACTTCTGATTCCGCCTCCCACGTCACTTCCTTCCTCTGCAGAAAATGCTGGACTACCTGAAGGATAAGAAGGAAGTGGGCTTCTTCCAGAGTATCCAGGCACTCATGCAAACATGCAGGTGGAGTCTAATATCCATCCTCCAGTTCAGGCCTGCTGGGTGTGGCAGTGTGCCCTTGCTTCCGGTGCCACTTCTGGTGGGCCAGGAAAAGAAAAGCTCAAATGCCAGAGAGCTTATTCTAAGAATTAATGTGGGTCAGGGAAAGAGATTAAAATATAATATAAACTGGGTACCAGTGGGTCATATGTATGATCCTAGCTTACCCAGGAGGCTGAGATCTGAGGATCACAGTTCAAAGCCAGCCTGGGCAGGAAAGTCCGTGAGACTCCTGTCTCCAATTAACCACTAAAATGCCAGAAGTGGCACCGTGGCTCAAAGTGGTAGAGTGCTAGCCTTGAACAAAAGGAGCATAGGGACAGCACCCAGGCCCTAAGTTCAAGCCCCATGATGACAAAAAAAAGCTCCAGGACAGTGCCCAGATCCTGAGTTTTAGCCCCAGGACTAACACAGAAAATAATAATATGAATTCCACATGGTAGAACCAAGAGATTTGTTGAGAACTCAAGGGTATTTGGGTTCTTACTGATGGCCCTTTCTTTGCCTCTTGTTATTAACTGACTTCTGTCCATTCTTGTGTTGCTTTTGTTAGTTGATAGTTTCTGCTTCCTCAGATTCAGCTGCCAGGTGTTTTGTCCTGAAGTAAGGCCGTGCCTTACTTCATAGATCTGGGGTTGGGGAGGCTCAAGGTCCCCATTGCTTCTGCTGCCTACTCATTTCTGCCTCCGTTTATGTGTGTGTGTGTGTGTGTGTGTGTGCGCGTGCGTGTGTGTGCATTTATGCACGTGTGCATGTGTATGTGCCAGCCAGTACTGGGGCTTGAATTTAAAGGTCTCAGTCTCTCACTTGGCTTTTTCTGCTCAAAGCTGGTGCTGTACCAGTTGAGCCATACCTCCACTTCCAGCTTTTTGCTGGTTAATCAGAGATAAGAGCCTCATGGATTTTTCTGTCTGGGTGGGCTTAGAACCTTGATTCTCATATCTCAGCCTCCTGAGTACCTAGGATTACAGACCTAAACTGTCAGTGCACAGCTCTCCTCTTGATTTCTGGTGATACACAGTCTCCTGTGGCCCTTCAGGTCCTGGAATCGAGGGGAGGGGGCAGAGATCTCATGACATCTCTCCAATCTTTCTTCCCTCAGTGTCCTGGACCTCAATGCCTTTGAGAGGCAGAACAAGGCAGAGGGGCTAGGCATGGTGAATGAGGATGGCACTGGTGAGACCCTCTTTCCCTGGGGACATTGACCTTCCTTCCCTCTACCACCACTGCCCAGAGCTCCTCTCCTCCAAGGCACCCCCTTCCAGAGAACTCCCTCTCATTCTTCCTGGATTATGGATCCCAGTCCTGCCATCCCCCTCCCTCAGGATCCTCCATTCCTCAGGATCTCCCTCCCCATGGGTGCCACCTTGGGTGTCATTTGTCCTGTGTTCTCTTACCCATCACCCCATGGACCCTGCCCTCCACGTACCCCAGTCTCATGCCCTGGTTGCTGTTCTCTCATTAATGTCCCTAATCCGGGTTAATTAGTCCTCTCTTTGCTGTGTTTTGACGTGTCTAACATTTCTACCCTGATCCTCGCTTCCTGCCTCTCCTCCTCTCCCTGTCCTCTCTTTCTCTTCTCTGTTCTTTCTCTTCCTTGGCTTGGACCTTCACTTCCTCCTCTTTTACTTGCTCACCTGCTCTCCTCTGTCTCCTTCTGGCTGTCTTTCTGTCTGGGGCTGTTTCTCTCTGTGTGTCCTGTGTCCTTGTCCCTGACTGTCACTGTGTGTTTTGCTGTGTCTGTCTTTCTTTTTCCCTCCTGCTTCCTCCTCCCATCCTGTTGGCTGCCTCAGTCATCAATCGCCAGAACGGTAATTCCCCCTCCCTTTTTCCCTGTGCTGTGCTGCTGCCATCCCTCCTCTTCTAACTCCCAACTTCCCCCTCTACCTGGGGGGCTGAGGATCTGGGACATCCAAGAATGGAGGGACCCTCCAGTGGGGGGCAAGGGGCACCTGTCTGACTGTCTGTGGAAAGCTTTGGGACCAGGAGTCCCAAGATAAGAGATTCTGATCTCAAATGAGTCACTGATCACAAGTGGCACTAAAGTCTCTTATCTAGTTCAGTGCTGGTGGCTCATACCTGTAATCCTAGCTACTCAGGAGGCTCAGAGCTCTGAGGACACCAGTTCAAAGCCAGCCCAGGCAAGAAAGTCTGTGAGACTCTTATCTGCAGTTAACCACCAGAAAACCAGAAGTGGTGCTGTGGCTCAAGTGGTAGAGCACTTGCCTTGAGCTAAAGAGCTCATGGACAGCGTCAAGGCCCATAGGTTAGGCCCCACAACCGACACAAATAAATAATTAAATCTCTTATCTTCCCTAAGCCTCAGTTTCTCCATGTGTAAAACAGAAGTTAGCTGGGCATCAGTGGCTCATGCCTGTAATCCTAGCTACTCAGGAGGCTGAGATCTGAGGATCACAGTTCAAGGGCAGCCCGGGCAGGAAACTCTGTGAGACTCTTACCTCCAATAAACCATTCAGAAAACTGGAAGTGGTGCTGTGGCTCAAGTGGTAGAGCACTTGCCTTGAGCTGAGGGGCTGAAGGACAGTGCCCAGGCTCAGAGTTCAAGCCCCACAACCGACCAAAGAAAAAAACAGAAGAAAAGACCATAGAAGTTCCTTTCCAACTGGATATTTTAGGCCTTCCAGACCCAGATCCCCAGTCCCAGGGTGGGGTGACACCTCCCCGCCAATTCCCACCTTCTCTGCGCACTGCGTCCCAACCGCAGATTGATTGGTCAGCGGTTTTCCCATCCACCAATCAGATTGGTTGCCTCCAATCATCCATTCTGATTGGTGCGCGCCTGCCCCCCCCTTGCGCCTGCTCTGATTGGCCCATTTATGACCTCGCCTTCTCCCTTACAGCCCACCATGATTGGCTTCTTTCAGATGCCCATTCTGAGTAGACCATATTGATATATCTTCCCTCTGCTTCTCCTGGATTGGCTGCTTTTGAGGCATTTGGGCCAGTTGGCTAGCTTTCAGTCCCTATCTTTCTCTTATCCCAGCCCAATCCTTTTCTTTCCTGCTCAGAGCCTTTGTGTGAAAGTGACCCCAACCTCTGTAATCCATTAACTGCTGCAGCCTGGGAGTGGGGTGGGTGGGGTGGGGTGGGGTGAGGGCACATCAGCTGCCTGAACGTCTGCCAAGTCAGACGTTTTGTCACACAAGTGGTGACATCACAGGGCACTGATGCTGTAGAAAGACACTTGAGGCCCCAGCTTCATGACTAAAGAGCCCCTCAGGTCTCCATCTGCTGATCTCATGGACTCTGAGGTCAAGACCTGCTGGTGTCATGGATGCCCATGGCCCTCACAGTGTCTTTGAAGTTTAGTGGCTGCTCTTCCCAGCACCTCCATACTTCGTGCATGTGTTTGCAGTGTGCATGTGCTGTGTGCATGTGTGTGCTTGTGTCTTGGCACATCTGATCCTTCCTGGGCCCTGTCCCTTCCTCCCATCCAGGAGAGAAGGTCATGGCTGATGATGAATTCACACAAGATCTCTTCCGGTTCCTACAGCTGCTCTGTGAGGGACATAACAATGGTGAGGACAAGGTGTGGGCTGGGTAGAGAGGACATCAAGGCCTTGGGGGAGGTGGGGAGGCTTCAGCCATACTTACCTGAGTTGCTCTCCAGTTGTCCTCCTCCTCTATCCATGATGGGCCACCAACCAGCCTGGTCTTGTCCAGCTTCAATCTACCTCCCTCCCAAAATCCTCTTGGAATTTCTGAGATTTAGCTCCTTCTCTTCACTCAACTCTTTTTTTTTTTTTTTTTGTCGGTCATGGGACTTGAACTCTGGGCCTGGGCGCTGTCCCTCAGCTCTTCAGCTCAAGGCAAGCGCTCTACCACTTGAGCTACAGCGCCACTTCCAGTTTTCTGGTGGTTTATTGGAGATAGGAGTCTCATGGTCTTTCCTGCCCGGGCTGGCTTTGAACCACGATCCTCAGATCTCAGCCTCCTGAGTAGTTAGGATTACAGGCGTGAGCCACCGGCGCCTGGCTTCTTCACTCAACTCTTCTGGCCAAGTACAGTTTCCAAAAGAAATATGCCAAAATACAATGTGGCCAAAACAATTTATTTGCCCAAATGGGCATTTTATCTCATTTCATTTTCCTGTAAGGATTGGGTTCCATCCACCAAAGTTCAGTAAACGGGGTGGATTTCTGTATTTTGAATATGTAGAAGGAAAAAACTTCCTGTTTTTTGTTTTTGTTTTTTGCTAGTCCTGGGGCTTGAACTCAGGGCCTGGGCACTGTCCTTGAGCTTCTTTTGCTCAAGGCTAGCACTCTACCACTTGAGCCACAGTGCCACTTCTGTCTTTTTCTGTGTATGTGGTAATAAGGAATCAAACACAGGGTTTCATGCATGCTCGGCAAGCACTTTACCATTAAGCCACATTCCCAGCCCTTTCTGGTGTTTTAAGATTAGTCTTTTTCTTTTAAATTGTGCCAGTACTGCAGCTTGAGCTCAGGGCCCGAGTGCTTGTCTCTTAAATTTTTTTTCAATCAAGGATAACACCCTATCATTTGGGCCATATCTTCACTTCTTGTTTTTTTGGAGCTTTCCTCACTAACTTTCCTACCTGGACTGACTTCAAACTGTGATCCTCAAATCTTCAGCCTCCAGAGTATCTGGAATGATAGGCATGAACCACCATTCCCCGGCCTAAAATGAGTCTTGGATTGATTCATTTCTTTTGTGGCATGAAATGTTTTGTCAGGAGGAAGATCTTCAGATTCTTTCCCAATATACACAAGAGTTTTGTTTGAAAAAAAAAATTTGCCTGGCACCAGTGGCTCATGCCTGTAATCCTAGCTACTCAGGAGGCTGAGATCTGAGGGTTTGCTGTTCAAAGCCAGCCTGGACAGGACAGTCCATGAGACTCCTGTCTCCAATTAACCACTAAAAAGCCAGAAGTGGCGCTGTGGCTCCAGTTGTAGAGTGCTATCCTTGAACAAAAGGAGCATAGGCACAGCACTCAGGCCCTAAGTTCAAGCCCCATGACTGACAAAAAAAAAGTTTATTTTCGCTCTGATTCTGCCAGTTTGACAAGATCAAAGATGACACAATTGCTTATTTAAATACAATGCTGAAGGGAAAAAATAACCTCATGTGACACCCAAAGTTCGTGACATTAAAGAAACCATCCAAATCCTGTACAAAGACATTCTCCTTCATGTCACTTCCTATAACAAACATGTGCAGTCATAAAGTTGTGGTTACCCTTAGCAGGTGCTTGGGAAACCACAAACTTCCCGGAAATTAATGTTCATGACAAAATTGGAATGAATAGAAATCTAACTGTTGTTGGGTGCTGGTGGCTCACACCTGTAATCCTAGTTACTCAAGAAGCTGAGATGCCAGGATCATGGTTCAAAGCCAGGCTAGGCAGGGAAGTCTGTGAAACTCTTATCTCCAACTAACCATCAAAAAGCCACAAGTAGAGATGTGGTGGGAGTGTTAGAACATCAGCTTTGATTAAAGAAAAAAAAAAGGGATTAGGAAGATAGCTCAGTGGTAGAGTGTTTGCCTTGCATGCATGAGGCCCTAGGTTCGATTACTCAGTACCATATAAACAGAAAAAGGTGGAAGTGGCATTGTAGTTCAAGTGGTAGAATCCTAGCCTTGATCTGAAGAGCTGAGGGACAACTCCCAGGCTCAGAGTTCAGGCCCCACAACCAACAAAAAAAAAAAAAAGCAAGGCCCTGAGTTCAAGCTCCAGTACGTACACACACACACACACACACACACACACACACACACACACACACACAAAATATTGGGGGGAAAAATGAATACAGAAACAATAGGTCCCACCACAACACAACACCTAATGCATAGTAGATTCTCAACAATATTTTCAGATAAATTTAAAAATGATCCTATTGCCCTTTGACACATAGTAGGTCATTTGCAACAGTTACTAAACAATGGTCATGTACCCCTGGTATGCATTGGGCATTCAACAAGTTTTTTGATCAGTTCTAGGGCTTGAACTTGGCCTGGGCACTGTCCCTGAGCTTCTTTTGCACAAGACTAGCCCTCTACCCCTGAGCCACAGCACTACTTCTGGCTTTTTCTGAGTAGTTTATTACATTTTCCTGCCAGGGCTGGCTTTGAACTGCGATCCTCAAATCTCAGCTTCCTGAGTAGCTAGGATTACAGTTGTGAGCCACCAGCACCGGGGGTAAAATACTCAACAAAATTTTATTGGATAAATGAATAAATGATCCACCATCTGTCTCTCCCAGCATGTTAAATGCTCAATGAATAAATGCCTTTTCATCTCCTTAGATTTCCAGAACTATCTTAGGACACAGACAGGAAACACAACTACTATTAACATCATCATTTGCACAGTGGACTATCTCTTGCGGTTGCAGGTGAGGATGTGAGACCACTGGGATGTGATTTGAAACTTGGGGGAGGGATCCCTGAGTGTCCTCACACCCTGCTCACCCCATAGGAATCCATCAGCGATTTCTACTGGTACTACTCAGGCAAGGATGTCATTGAGGAACAGGGCAAGAGAAACTTCTCCAAGGCTATGTCAGTGGCTAAACAGGTGTTCAATAGCCTTACAGAGTACATTCAGGTAGGGCCTGCCCACTGTGGTGGGGTGGGTTGGAGCATTCCCCCATATAGCACCCTTCCCTGGGTTTACAGTTCCCTCTGTCCCCAGGGCCCCTGCACTGGGAACCAGCAGAGCCTGGCACATAGCCGTCTCTGGGACGCCGTGGTAGGATTCCTACACGTGTTTGCCCACATGATGATGAAGCTTGCTCAGGTTTGAGGTCTTTCTTGTTTCCATTTGCTCAGCAGTCCCTGTCCGGTCTTGGTCCCATTAGCCAGTTTCTTATCCAAGTGCTCCCAACATGTTCCCACCCCTTGGTCAAGTCTGTCTTCCCTCTAGATTGGCTCTCTGTGTGACCTTGCCCCATCAATCAGCTAGAATTCCACCTATACATCCATTATTAGCTTGTGCTGGGCCCCACCCCTTCTGGTCAGAGCTTTTAGTATTGGGTAGTATTCGTTTCTCTCTGATGAGGTCATCTTAAGTTCCCACAGCCTTGAAATTGGAGTGGGCCCCTTCTAAGATCAGGGCTGGGGACTGAAGGAGTGTTGCTTTTATATTGTGCCTGCGGCAGATGACACCCATGCCAGGCATCCATGATGTAAGGACCAGAATCTTTGTGCTTCCCTTTTCCGCACTGCCCTTGTGTCTTTGCAGTCTTTGTCAATGCCTAGCAAGCGCTTTATCCATTTGCTCTGCTTCTGTATATTCAACAGTTCAAGGCTTTTACATACAGTCACATACAGTTATGCATTCATTACACCTGGGCCCATAGCTCAGAACATCCTAGCACCCTAGCCTAGCATCATAAATATATTTGTGTAGTACAGAAGTTACCCAGCAGATGGCAGTAAAGTATTCTACTTGTCATTTCTCCACAGAAAGCATCCTGGAGATTTTTTTTTCTTCTTCTAATTGACCCAAAGGTACCATAAAAATTGCCAGAAATCCTGTAATCTGACTTTGATAGGAGCTGAAGTAAGAGCCCAATACCTCAATGTCAGTTCAGTTAAAGTGACTGTAGATGTAATCTCAAAATGCTAGTGGAAACAGATACCAAAGTCCTTCAGAGTTAATTCACTAAGTGCTGTGGCTCAGGGGAAAGAATTTGTCAGTTAATATCACAGATCCGGGGCTTAGAATTCTGTCAGCAGATATGTCTCCCTGTCTTCTTTGGCTTTATTCTCAAGCAGAAGCTTACAGACTGGAAAATTGGTGAGCTGGACTTCCAATGGGAAAAGAACTCTTTTCTGAGAACTCCAGCCAAAAGATCTGAAATTCTCTTTGATTGGGTTCCTGGTTGGGTCAATCATTGTATCCAGAAGAAAAAGAAAGCTAATTGACCAGGCCTAGTCATGTATCCTCCCCTAGAATAAGAAGGTGTGGTTAGCTTTATGGGCTTGATTGGCTAGACTTGGGCCTGTGAACTAGGAAGTGGGGTTAACCAGGAAAACTCAGAGTATGGTTGAGGGGGCACCCAACTGAAAATGGAGGGATTGTGTGAGAAGGTAGGTTGGTTCATAGGTAGGCACCTCTTCCCTAGTCAGATCCTCATATGTTAGAACCTTAGATTCAGAATGTCAAATGTGTTCGAATTAGAATTAGCAACTCCCCAAGCTAGAGGGTTGAAAGAACTTTACCTACCACTTTTCTGGTCTCTTCCTTTGCCTTCTCCACTTGGTCAGAGAGAGCTATATGAAATCAGCCCTCTCTGGGTCAACAATGATCACATATTAACAATTGTATGTGACTCAACTTAACTACCAGGTGGCAGAAGTTTGTGGTGAAGGATTCCATGTGTCCCACAGGAGGCACTGTGCAGGGATAGCATGTGCTCCTCTATGTCCCACAGTGGCTTACCAGAAAGCACAGTGGCTGTCTCCCCAGCAGTCCTCCTGAACACAGTCTTACTTTTCCAATGATTGTGGATGTGGAGCACCCAACCATAGAACAGGCATTGTTCTGGGTCTCTGTCTTCAGCATTGCTCACTCTTTCTCTGCTCTGAATGTCTGTTCTCCATGTCTCCTCTTCCTTCTCTGTCAGTCTAATGCCCCTTATATCTCCTGCTGGGAGTGCTTCCCCCTCACCTAGTACAACCCCCAACCCCCACAATCTTATCTCTGCCCCCTCCCCTGCTTTCGAGGAACATGTCAGGACTCGGGTCCCCTCAGAGGTAAGAAGGGAGAGAGGGGGTAATCTCAGACCTGTTGGGGAGGAGAAGCACCTGGGAGTGGGAGCCGTGTCTCTGCAGACACCAGCCCTGACACAGTGGGCCTGTGGATCTCTAGGACTCCAGCCAGATTGAGCTGTTGAAGGAGCTGCTCGATCTACAGAAGGACATGGTGGTGATGCTGCTGTCCCTACTGGAAGGTAAACAACAACCTGGGGAGTGGGGGTGGAAGCACAGAATAGCCTGTATTCCCAGCATTTAGAAGACTGAATCAGGGGCTGGGAAGGTGGCTCAGCGGTAGAGCGCTTGCCTTGCATGCATGAGGCCCTGGGTTCGATTCCTCAGCACCACATAAGCAGAAAAAACAAAAGCCGGAAGTGATGCTGTGGCTCAAATGGTAGAGTGCTAGCCTTGCTGAAGAGCTGAGGGACAGTGCCCAGGCCCAGAGTTCAGGCCCCATGACCGGACCCAAAAAAAAAAAAAGAAGAAGACTGAATCAGGAGGACCTCAAGTTTCAGGCCAGCCTGGCCTCCACAGTGAGATTCTGTCCCTTAATACATTAATTGAAATAAAAAAAATTAACAGGTACCGAAATAAGCTAGAGCTTCGGGCCAACTAGAGAGTATGTAAAATCCCAGGTTGCCATAGTCTTCTTCTGTCCTGACTGGCTTATCCTTGGCTTCCCCCCTCCCTCCTGCCAATCTAAGGACTTTTGTGTACAGTAAAGGTTTTGGTATATGAGCTCTGAGGTTATGCAACTCTGGGTTCAAATCTTCTCTCTCCCTGCCATCTACTGGCTATGTTGAGTGGGTAATTTTCATCAGCTGATCCTCATGCGCAAAACCAAGTAGTCATACATTCTCTCCCAGGGTAGTCATGAAATTATGCAAGCCATGATATCTGTCACCCACAGGTAGCTTTATTGATGATTACCCCAGCTAGTGAGAGATATAGACAGCGTGGCATGGTGGTACATGTCTGTAATTCCAGCAGAGGATGATCTGTAATCTGGAGGCAAAGGAAAGAGGACTGTGGTCTGAGGCCAACCTGAACAATAACAACAACAGCAAAAAGAATAGACCCTACCTGAACAACAAAAGTAAAAAAAAAAGAATTAGGGTGTGTGATGGTGGTTCCAGTGACAGAGTGCCTGCCTAGCAAGTGTGAGGCCCTGAGTTCAAACCCTAGTACTGCCAAAAGAGAAAGAAGAAGGCTGGGTGCTGGTGGTTCATGCTTGCAATCCTAGCAACTCAGGAGGCTGAGATCTGAGGACTGGAGTTGGACATGAAAGTTCATGAGACTCTTATCTCCAATGAACTACCAGAAACCAAAAGTGGTATTGTGGCTCAAAGTGGTAGAGCACTAGCCTTGAGCAAAAGAGCTCAGGGACAGTGCTCAGGTGCTGAGTTCAAGCCCCATGCAAAAAAAAAAAAAAAAAAAGATTTGGGAGAGAAGAGAGAGAAGCACAAAATAAGCAGGTGGGTTCTCGGTAGGCTGATACAGATCAGGAAGTAACCCTTTTCAGGGGGATATAGAAGCTGGTTTGGGAGCATGAGCCCAATGGTGAGCCATAGGTTCTGAGCTGGAGAGAGAAAGCTAGCCTAAGAAAACTCAGGAAAGGATGCTGTCGGAGCTGGGAAAATGGTAGAGTGCTTGCCTTGCATGCATGAGGCCCTGGGTCTGATTCCTCAGCCCCACATAAACAGAAAAGGCCGGAAGGGGCACTGTGGCTCAAGTGGTAGAGCACTAGCCTTGAGCTGAAGAGCTCAGGGACGATGCCCAGGCCCAGAGTTCAGGCCCACGACCAAATAATAATAATAATGATAATAATAATAGTAACTCAAGGAAGAATGCTGTGCTGGGCTGTACTGACCTGGAGTTCCCACAGGGAACGTGGTGAATGGCATGATCGCCCGGCAGATGGTAGACATGCTCGTGGAGTCCTCATCCAACGTGGAGATGATCCTCAAGTTCTTCGACATGTTCCTGAAACTCAAGGACATTGTGGGCTCCGAGGCCTTCCAGGACTATGTCACTGATCCCCGGGGCCTCATCTCTAAGAAGGACTTCCAGAAGGTGAGTTCTGCACAGGACCTCAGTGGGTGGCCAAGTTCTGGCTATGACTTCCTGACTGGCTGACATGAAGGACAGACTTCTCTGCCAACCGCAGCTTCCTTATCTGTAAGTTGGGATGAAACAATAATGGGAATTGAACTCAGGGCCTCAGGTGTGCTAGGCAAGTGTTCTACCACTGAGCCGTTCTCTCCAGACCCTTTTGGGGTTGTTTGGAGGATGAAGTACATGAATGCATATGAGAATCATCTTTATTATGAATAGTTCTAACAGTTATCATCTGTGCTAATGGCCTTTCTGTTATATGACAAAATGCAAACTGGTTCAGTCTGTGGTCTCTTACCCCTAGGGCTTTGGGCCTGTGGCAGGCAAGAAGAGTACATGCTAGAGCAGTGCTGCTCAATTCATGACTACCTATATTTTTTTTCTTTTCTTTTTTTTTGTGAGTCATGGGGCTTGAACTCTGGGCCTGGGCACTGTCCCTCAGCTTTTTCATTCAAGGCTAGCACTCTTTCACTTTGATTTTTTTTTTTTGGCGGGGGGGTCCGGTTGTGGGGCCTGAATTCTGGGCCTGGGCACTGTCCCTCAGCTCTTCAGCTCAAGGTTAGCACTCTACCACTTGAGCCACAGCACCACTTTTGGCTTTTTCTAAGTAGTTTATTGGAGATTAAGAGTCTCAGGGACTTTTCTACGTGGGCTGCCTTCAAACCACAGTCCTCAGATCTCAGCCTTCTGAGTAGCTAGGATTACAGGCATGTGCTACCTGTGCCCAGCAACTCATGACATTTTATAGCTCAAAACTTGGCCCAGTTTTGTTTGTTTGTTTTAGGCCTCAGGTAAGGGTAGAATATCATGTGGCAGGAGCCTGTGGCAAAGCAAATCGCTGTCACAGTCCAAGTGGGGATCAAAGAGGGGGAAGATCCCTGGATCTACTCTGAAAGCAGAGCTGACAGATTTACTGAGAAATCAGGTGTGGGTGGTGGGACAAAAGAGCCAAATCATGGATGACTCAACACTTTCAGTTTAAGCACTTAGGTGGGTGGAACTGCTATCCCAGAGATGGGTGGGTGGGGGCACAGAGGCTTTTGCAAACAGAAGTTCACTTTGGGCCATTTCCATTTCTGACATCTACAAAGAGATTTCAGCTGGGGCTTTAGCTGTTAAGAATCTATATTCTGAGACTTGACTTGGTTGCTCACATCTGTAATTCTAGCTACTCAGGAGGCAGAAGTAGGAGAATCATGATCCCAAGTCTTGGCTGAAGCAAACGTTCAAGACTTGATCTGATCTATAACTGAAGCAGAAAGACCTGGGGTCGTGGTTCAACTGGTAGACTAACTGGTAGACTAAAACTGAGAAAAATTTTAAAAGACACTGCATTCTGGAGAACACTTAGGGCTAGGTGTTGGTGACTTTTGACAGTCATTGCTGCAGCTGGCGTTCAGCACTGGTATTCAGAGGCTTCAACTGTATCTTATGGACAGGGCATGCTTCAAGTAGAGAGTGCAGATTCCAGACCATAGTCCCTGCAGCTTTAGAGCTCTATAAGGCAATTTCAACATGGGAAACTGACAATAGTGAGAGAAGAATGAGGGTGATGGTGGTTGGGAGGGAAAACTGAGAGAAAAATGAGGGAAAAGGTGACACCTTTCAAAAAGAAATGTAGAGCCTGGTGCCAGTGACTCATGCCTGTAATCCTGGCTACTCCGGAAGCTGAGATCTGAAGATCACAGTTCAAAGCCAGCCCAGGCAGGGAAGTCTTTTATCTCCAATTAACACCAGAAAACCAGAAGTGGCACTGTGGCTCAAGTGGTAGAATACTTGCCTTGAGCTGAAGAGCTCAGAGAGTGCCCAGGCCCAGAGTTTAAGCCCCACAACTGTCAAGAAAAAGAAAGAAATGTGCTCATTACCTGACTTACATCACTGTAAACCCTCTGTACACCATCTTTACAGTAACAATTTTTTAAAAAAGAAGGAATGATGCAGGTGACTCACATCTGTAATCCTAGCTACTCAGGAGGCTGAGATCTGAGATCATGGTTCAAAGCCAGCCCAGGCAGGAAAGTCGTGTGTGTGTGTGTGTGTGTGTGTGTGTGTGTGTGTGTCCTGGGGCTTGAACTCAGGGCCTGGGTACTGTTCTTGAGCTTCTTTGGCTCAAGGCTAACACTCGACCACTTGAGCCACAGTGCCACTTCCAGCTTTTTCTGCTTATGTGGTACTGAGGAATTGAACCCAGGGCTACATGCATGCTAGGCAAGCACTTCACTACTGAGCCACATCCCCAGCCCCTCCATGTGACTCTTAGGTCCAGTTAACCACCAAAATGCTGGAAGTACAGCTCAAGGGGTAGAGTTCCAGCCTTGAACAAGAAAGTTAAAAGAGAGCACCCAGGACCTGAGTTCAAGCCCCAGTACCAGCATAAACAAGCAAAGTCCTAGGCAAATAAATGATGACAAAAAGAGAACAGCAAATCACAGGGCTGGGGCTAGGAATGTGGCTTAGTGGTAGAATGCTTGCCTAGCATTCATGAAGCCTGGGTTCGATTTCTCAGTACCACATAAACAGAAAAGGCTGGAAGAGGTACTGTGGCTCAAGTGGAAGAGTGTCTTGATCAAAAGAAGCTTAGGAACAGTGCCCCAGCCCTGAGTTCAAGGCCCAGGACTGGCAAAAAAAAAAATCACAGGGCTAATTTGGAGGGCAATGGGCCCCAGACCTGTTTAGGGGTGAGAGAAGACTGTCTTCTACCGGTCATCATGGAGAAAGGCAGGTGGCTGAAGACAGGGCAGAAGAGGAGACGTTTCTGTGTGATCCTGTCTCTATACTCTGTGGTTTTTAGAACCCTTCACGATGTGCAGAGCCTCTTACTCATTTAGAAAGCATCTTGCAAAGTTCTTGGCTTTTTACAGAGCACTCCTTAGAACAAAAAAAAATTCACTTCTATTCATACCATGGCAACATTTCTCACACTGTATTTTGCAGCCCATTGTAGGTCACAAAATTAATCTACTAAATCAGAACTAGCATCTTTAAAAAACAAAGTAAGGGCTGGGTACCCGTGGCTCATGCCTGTAATCCTAGCAACTCAGGAAACTGAGATCAGAGGATCATGGTTTGAAACCAGCCCATGCAGGAAATCCATGTGACTTTATCACTAATAAAAAGCCAGAAGTAGAGTTGTGGCTCAAGTGATAGAGCACTGGCCTTGAGCAAAAGAAGCTCAGGGACAGTGCCAAGGCCCTGAGTTCAAGCCCTAGTATGGGCACCAAAAAGAAAGACATTGCAGAGTACAGTTGCATAGGAAGGAAAGAAGGGAGGAAGGGAGAGAGAGACCGGGGGAGATAGGTCATCACAAATACGGTTGCATAGGAAGTTAGAATTTTTTTTTCTTTTGAGTCATATTGTGCAATACATTCTTACTATTGGTGTGGTCAAGAACATTTAGAAAATTGCCTTCAATAACTGCTTGCAAAAGTACATAAAAGAGTGAGGTAAGCCAAGCTCAGAGACAAACAGTGCATGTTTTTAAAGCTCATGTGGAAGCTAGATCTAAAGTACACAGGGCATGATAAATTATATAAGACCCTAGGCATTCACATATAAACTGTGAGACTAAAGAAAGATACTCTTAAGGAAGGAACCCAAATGCATAAGGCCTCTGCACATTTAAAATACTATTTATTGAAATTAGTTCCAGGAAATGGAAATATGGGCTTTTTGTTGATGGTGGTGGTGTATTTATTTATTTATTGACAGTCCTGGAGCTTGAACTCAGGACCCGGGCACTATCCCTGAGCCTCTTTGTGTTCAAGGCTAGCACTCTACTCCTTGAGCCACAGGGCCACTTCTGGCTTTTTCTGTGATTAATTGGAAATAAAAGTCCTATGGGCTTTCCTGTGCAGGCTGGCCTCAAAGCACAATCCTCAGATCTCAGCCTCCTGAGTAGCTAGGATTATAGGCATGAGCCACCAGTGCCGTGATGTTTTGTTATTTTTTTCTGTCTTATGGGAGGGCAGGGAGGAAGGATGACCAAATGCAGGCATGGTACTCAGCAAACACTATATGGAAAATGAGTTATGCAGCTTGTGGGCTGGGATGGGAGGGGGAAATTGGTGGAAAGCAAAGAAAGGGGTGACATTGTCCAAAAAAAAGAAATGTACTCATTACCTGACTTAGGAGACTATAACCCCTCTGTGCAACACCTTAATCATGACAATAAAATTATATTTACATTTTTTTAAAGTACATAAGAGGGTAGGCGGTGTGGCTCAAATTGTAGAATGTTCTCCTCCTGCCTTGAGCAAAAAAGCTAAGGGTCAGCTCCTAGGCCCTGCGTTTAAACCCCAGTCACCCCCACTGACCTCTCCTACTTACCTCTAGGCTATGGATAGTCAGAAGCAGTTCACTGGCCCGGAGATCCAGTTCCTGCTTTCCTGCTCTGAAGCAGATGAGAATGAGATGATCAACTGTGAGGAGTTTGCCAACCGCTTCCAGGAACCAGCTCGTGACATCGGCTTCAATGTGGCAGTGCTGCTGACCAACCTGTCCGAGCATGTGCCACATGACCCACGCCTGCGCACCTTCTTGGAGCTGGCTGAGAGTATCCTTGAGTACTTCCGGCCCTACCTGGGCCGCATCGAGATCATGGGAGCCTCACGACGCATTGAGAGGATCTACTTCGAGATCTCAGAGACCAACCGCGCCCAGTGGGAGATGCCCCAGGTGAGCAGATCTATGGGTTTGTCCACTCCTAGAAGGCTTGCACTCCACGTGGGGTTGTGCACACCTTGCACGTGTGGGCTCCTGTGCTCCAGCAAGCCCATGCCCAACCTTTTGGGTTTTGTTGTTGTTGTTGTTACTGTTTGTGTACCAGTACTAGGGCTTGAGGTTAGGGCCTGGATGCTGACTCTTAGCTTTCTCACTCAAAGCTGGTATTCTACCTCTTGAGTCACACTTCCACTTCTGGCTCTGTAGGGGCGGGGATGGGGGGGGGTGTGCACACGCGAGTACTTGAGTCCTGGGGATTGAACTCAACGCCTGGGCACTGTCTCTGAACTTTTTATTTTTCCTCAAAGCTAGTACTTTACCACTTGAACCACAGCTCCACTTCTGGCTTTTTTCTTTTCCTTCCTTCCTTTCTTTTTCTCTTTCTTTCTTTCTTTTCTTCTTCTTTCCTTCTTTCTCTCTCCCTCCCTCCTTCCTTCTCTCTCTCCTTCCTTCCCTCTCGCCCTCCCTTCCTTCCTTCCTTTCTTCCTTCCTTTCTTTCTTTCTCCCTCTCTCCCTTCCTTCCTTCCTTCCTTCCTTTCCTTCTTTCTTTCTTTTTTTTGTAGTTTATTGGAAATAAAGAGTTTCACAGACTTTCCTGCCTGGGCTGGTTTCAAACTTCCATCCTCAGCAGGGCACCAGTGTCTCACACATGTAATCCTAGCTACTCAGGAGACTGAGATCTGAGGATTGTGGTTCAAAGCCAGCTTGGGCAAGAAAGTATGTGAAACTTTTTTTTTTGAGGGGGGGGTCCGGTCGTGGGGCCTGAACTCTGGGCCTGGGCGCTGTCCCTCAGATCTTCAGCTCAAGGCTAGCACTCTACCTCTTGAGCCACAGTGCCACTTCCGGCTTTTTTCTTTTTGCTTATGTGGTGCTGAGCAATCGAACCCAGAGCCTCATGCATGCAAGGCAAGCGCTCTACGACTGAGCCACCTTCCCAGCCCCGTATGTGAGACTCTTACCTCCAATTATCCACCAGAAAAACCAGAAGTGTGCTGTGGCTCAAGTGGTAGAGCATTCGCCTTGAGCTGAAGAGCTGAGGGACAGCGCCCAGGCCCAGAGTTCAAGCCCCTTGACCAACAAAACAAAAACAAAGCCTTCCTCCTCAAATCTCAGCCTCCTGCATCTCTAGGCATAAACCGGTGGTGCCTGGTACACATCTGGCTTTTTGGTGGTTCATTGGAGATAAGAGTCCCACCATCTCTCCTGCCTGAGCTGGTATACATACATACATACATACATACATACATACATACATACATACATACATACATTTTTTGGGGGGGTGGTCATAGAGCTTGAACTCTGGGCCTGGACACTGTCCCTCAGCTCTTTAGCTCAAGGCGAACGCTGTACCACTTGAGCCACAGTGCCACTTCTGGTTTTCTGGTGGTTTATTGGACATAAGAGTCTCATGGACTTTGCTGCTCAGGCTGGCTTCGAACTCTAATCCTCAGATCTCAGCCTCTTGAGTAGCTAGGATCACAGGCATGAGCCACCTGCACCCGGTTCTGGGCTGGCTTTGAACCCCCAATCCTCAGATCTTAGTCTCCAGAGTAGCTAGGAATAGAGATGTGAGCTATTGGCACCTGGCCTTTGGGCCTTTTGTCACTGTGGTCCCAGCCTCCCGTCCCTCCCTCCTCACCCCCCACTGATGGCACTTTCTGTCCTTCATATGCACTGCAGGTGAAGGAGTCCAAGCGCCAGTTCATCTTCGACGTGGTGAATGAGGGCGGTGAGTCGGAGAAGATGGAGCTGTTCGTGAGCTTCTGTGAGGACACCATCTTTGAGATGCAGATTGCAGCACAGATCTCGGAGCCTGAGGGGGAGCCAGAGGAGTCGGAGGACGAGGGTGCCACTGAGGCTGGCACAGAAGTTCCCGAGGAGGGATCGGCAGGTCCCGAGGGCACCACAGGCGCAGTGGCAGCTGGTGTCACTGCGAGGTTGGCAGCTGCCATGAGCCGGGCGCTGCGGGGTCTTAGTTACCGCAGCCTGCGGCGGCGGGTGCGGAAGCTGCGACGGCTGACAGCGAGGGAGGCGGCCACGGCGGTGGTGGCACTGCTCTGGGCGGTGGTAACCCAGGCAGGATCAGCAGGTGCTGGGGCAGCAGCAGGCACACTGCGCCTCCTCTGGGGCTCCCTCTTTGGCGGTGGCTTGGTAGACAGTGCCAAGAAAGTGACCGTCACTGAGCTCCTGGCGGGCATGCCTGACCCCACTGGTGATGAGGTGCATGGCCAGCAGCCCACAGGGCCAGGTGGTGATGCAGATGGTGAAGGCGAGGGTGAGGGCGAGGGTGACACCCAGGAGGGTGCAGGTGAAGAAGAGGCGGCATCGGATGAGGCCCGACAGGGCGGTGCAGACCGGGCTGTGGCTGTGGCCGATGGGAGTCCTTTCCGGCCTGAAGGGGCTGGTGGTCTCGGGGACATGGGGGATACGACTCCAGTGGAGCCACCTACGCCTGAGGGTTCCCCGATCCTCAAGAGGAAGCCGGGGGTGAGCTGGGATTCATGTGGGTGCTGAGCAATGGGGTGGGAGAGAGAGAGAGAGACCCTGGGTGGGTGGATATGAGCTGGTGGAAGATGGAGATGCTTAGAAAAAGAGCCAGGAACAGATACCTAGAGAAAGGGTCCCAACGTGAAAGAGAAAGACATCTGCAGTAAAGTACATCCAGAGTCCCAGAAACAAATCACAGGGGAATAGGAACCAAGTTTAAAAAGATCCAAGAAGACAGAGGTCAGGGACCCTGGGAAAGACCCTCAGAGATACATGGTTTGTATGAAATTAGTCCACTCAAGACCCCCAGGGGTTGGGAAGGTGGCTCAGTGGTAGAGCGCTTGCCTTGCATGCATGAGGCCCTGGGTTGGATTCCTCAGTACCACATAAGCAGAAAAAGCCAAAAGTGGCACTGTGGCTCAAGAGGTAGAACGCTAGCCTTGAGCTGAAGAGCTGAGGGACAGCGCCCAGGCCCAGAGTTCAGGCTTCATGACTGACCTAAAAACAAAAACAAAAAACAGAAAGACCCCCAAAGCATCCTTAGGTCTAGGTGCTGTGACTGCCTTATTGACCTGTGGTTGTCAAGGAGATGAGATGCCACAGCAGATAAAGGCTTTCCATGAAGTCAGCCTGACCATGTACAATTTACCTCCTGTACAGTGAAATCAAGAAGTCCTAGCTAGGCTCTAAGAGTCATACCTGTAATCCTAAATACACTCAGGAGGCTGAGCTCTGAGGATCACGGTTTGATGGTAGCCTGGGCAGGAAAGTCTATGAGACAGTTATCTCCAATTAACCAGCAAAAGTCTGGAAATGGAGTACTAGCCTTGAGTGAAAAAGCTCAGGGTCAGTTGCCCGGTCTTGAGTTCAAACCCTAGTGTTGGCACAAAAGAAACAGAATGAAAGCGAAGGAGAGAAAATGATAGCCCCTCTTCCCTGGGGTGAGGGTATCTCTTGGATAACCTGAAAATGGGGGATGAGCTGCTGGGACAAAGGGCCAGTGTAGGATTAGGCAGGCCAGCCCTGAGAAGATTCAGACCTGTGTCCTATCCCCAGGTGGAGGGAGAAGAGGAAGAAGAACAGCCTCCAGAACCAGAGCCAGAGCCTGAACCAGAGAAAGCTGAGTGAGTGTCTCAGGGAAGAAGAGGGGGAACTGAGGCCCTATACACTGCCTCCCTTCTGGACTGGGAGACTCCTGAGGTCAAACCACAAAGCTGTCCTGGTCACCCTACATTCCAGCCAGGGACACAAAGGAAAGAACCCATGCAAAGAAATAAATGCTTTTTCTTTCTTTCTTTTTTTATCATGGGGCTTGAACTCTCAGCCTGGGTGCTGTCCCTCAGCTCTTCAGCTCAAGGTGAACACTCTACCATTTGAGCCACAGCACCACTTCCAGTTTTCTGAGTGGTTTATTGGAGATAAGAGTCTCACAGATTTTCCTGCCCAGGCTGGCTTTGAACCATGACCCTCAGATCTCAGCCTCCTGAGCAGCTAGAATTACAGGTGTGAGCCACCAACACCCGGCTTAGGAATAAATTCTGTTCTTTTAACTCCAAGCTGTTCCCTCTACCAGGAACATTTTCCCTCCAAGCTTCCTGAGTTTTCTAGTTCTTTCTGTTCAGGCTCATGTGTCTCCTCCATGATACCATTTGTTTGTTTGTTTGTTTGCAATACTGGATTTGAACTCAGGGTCTTGAACTTGCTAGGCAAGCAATTCTGCCACTTGAGCCAGCCCCCCAGTCCTTTAACTTTAGGTTTGTTTTGCACATAGGGTCTTGTGTTTTGTCCAGACCAAACTTGGACTGTGTGATCCTCCTATCTCCACCTTCTTTTTCTCTCTTTCTCTCCTTCCTTCCTTCCATCCTTCCTTCCTTCCTTTCTTTCTTTCTTCCTTTTTTCTTTTTTTTTTTTTGTCAGTTGTGGGGCTTGAACTCTGGGCCTGGGCTCTGTTCCTCAGCTCTTCAGCTCAAAGCTAGCGCTCTACCATTTGAGCTACAGCACCACTTCCGTTTTTTTGTTTGTTTTTTTTTTCCTGGTGGCTTATTGAAGATAAGAGTTTCACAGACTTTCCTGCCCGGGCTGGCTTTGAACCTTGATCCTCAGATCTCAGCCTCCTGAGTAGCCAGGATTACAGGCGTGAGCCACTGGCGCCCGGCTCTTTTTTTCTTTCGTCATGGGGTTTAAATTTGGGTCCTAGGCACTCTCCCTGAGCTCTTTTGCTCAAGGCTAGCTCTCAGGTACTTTAAGTCACAGTGCCACTTCTAGTTTTCTGGTGGTTAATTGGAGATGAGAGCCTCACAGACTTTCTTGCTTGGGCTGGCTTTGAACCTTGATCCTCAGATCTCAGCCTCCTGAGTAGCTAGGATGACTGGCATGAGCCACCAGCACCTGGCTCCTATCTCCACTTTTTGAGTAGTTGGGATTATGGGCATTCACTGTCTGTCTGTTATGCTATGTGGCTCCCTCCTAGGCTGACCAGATGTCTCATTTAGTTTCTTGCCTCCTTCGTTCCAGTTAGGACTGCTCCCCCTTAGTTACACTGGGCTGGAATCCCATGAAGGTGGAGCCAATGGATGTCTCATTACTCAGTGTTCCTAGCATCTCTAGATCTGAGCTAGGCCACAGGCAGGACCCTTTGTGAATGATTTTGAACAATGAATTGCCCAGGCACTTCATGACCTCTTCCTATATCCTGCCTTACAGTACTGAGAACGGGGAGAAGGAAGAAGTCCAAGAACCCCCACCAGAGGAGCCTCCCACGAAGACAGCACCCCCTCCACCCCCTCCGAAAAAGGAGGAAGCTGGAGGTGCAGGCTTGGAATTCTGGGGGGAGCTGGAAGTGCAGAGGGTGAAGTTCTTGGTGAGGGTCCCCTAAAGACTCATGAAACTTCTTCTCACAGAGAAACCTGTGTCCTCCTCACCTGTCCTCCTCACACTGGTTTTAAACTCACCTATGAGGGGCTGGGAAGGTGGCTCAATGGTAGAGCACTTGCCTTGCATGCCTGAGGCCCTGGGTTCAATTCCTCAGCACCACATAAGCAAAAAGAAAAAAGCCGGAAGTGGCACTGTGGCTCAAGTGGTAGAGCGCTAGCCTTGAGCTGAAGAGCTGAGGGACAGCGCCCAGGCCCAGAGTTCAGGCCCCACGACTGGACCCCCCCAAAAAAAGAAAACTCACCTATGACACACTCATGTCTGAAAAGAAGCCAGGCTGGCAAAGAAGGCAGAGCTGTCTCCAGACAAGGGCCAGGATCTGGGGCCCAGTAGGGCATTTTTTCAAGTGACCCTCACTTGACTCCCAATCCCTATTCCTACCTCCACATCTTTGCTCCTCCAGCACCACCTGCTTGGGCCCAACCCATCTAGCCAGCTGAGGCTCTAATCTCCCCTTTCTCCCCAGTGTATTCTATTGCATGACCTTCTATATCTGGACTAGGCCTGACCCCAGCTCCTGCAGGGGTCTAAGCTGTCAGGGATTCCTATACAACAGCCCATCTTCTCATCCATCCTTGGAGAAAGCATGGTGACTATTCTTCCCTCCCACCAATCCTGATGTGGGGAGTGGGGGTGAGAGATACAAGTTCAACAGAAGGCCCTGTCATGAGGGTTTGTGCGAGGAATGAGAGACACAGGAGGAAGTGGAGAGACAAAGAAGAGATGGAGCCGGGCTCTGGTGGCTCACACTTTTAATCCTAGCTATTCTGGAGGCTGAGATCTGAGGATCATGGTTCAAAGCCACCCCGGGCAGAAAAGTCTGTGAGACTCTTATCTTTAGTTAACTCCCAAAAGCCAGAGGTGGAGATGTGGCTCAAGTAGTAGAATGCTAGCCTTGAGCACAAAAACTCAGAGACAATGCCCAGGCTGAGTTCAAGCCCTAGTCCCTGCACCAAAACAATACAGGTAACATCACCTGCAAGCCAGCATATGGGGTTGGGGTATAGACTCAGGTGCGTGACTACTAAGGTTTAATTCTCAGGTATGGGACTGGGGATATAGCTCAGAGAGGTTGCTTAGAGGTTGCAAGGCCCTGGGTTCCATACCTCATACAGACATCATCATCATCATCATCATCACCACAGTCATCATCATTCCAGGTCTGCTACTATGGGATGTTGAACCAAATACCACTTCCCTGCTCCTGTTTTCTTTTTTCTTTTTCTTTTCTTTTCTTCTTCTTTTTTTGTTTTGGTGCTGATCGTAGAATTTGAACTCAGGGCCTGGCACTGTCCCTGAGCATCTTTTTCTTCTCAAGGCTAGTGTTGTACCACTAGCCACAGCTAGTGGTGCCAAAGCTCCACTTCTGGCCTTTTTGGTAGTTCATTGGAGATAAGAGTCTCATGGACTTCCCAGCCTGGGCTGGGAAGATCCTCTGATTTCAGCCTCCTGAGTAGCTAGGATTATAGGCATGAGCCATTGGCTCTGAGCCCGAAGCCCATTTTCTTGTCTAGAAAGCCTAGGGTTGTAGTAAGAATGAAACCGATTGGTGTATATAAAGTTCTCCACCCAGGTCTTGGTATACAGCAAGCACTCAATAAGTAGGAGTTAATAGGGTTGGCTGTTGAGGACCAGGAGCCCTGATGGTGGGTAAGTGATGGATGGGAGGGTTCTCCAGGGAAGAGACCAGACTGTGAGTGTTCTGTCTCTCTCCCTCTGTCTTTCCCTTCTCTCTCTCTCCTCTCTCTTTCTCTTTCTCTGTCTCTCTCTCACATACAGAATTACCTCTCCCGGAACTTTTACACTCTGCGGTTCCTTGCCCTCTTCTTGGCATTTGCCATCAACTTCATTCTGCTGTTTTATAAGGTACTGGTCACATGATGGGTCAGGCCCTTATCCAGGCTGTGGGGTGGGAAAGGGGGGATCTTCAGCTCTCCACAGACCCCCAGGGATCCTGAACTGCAGATACAAGGTATGGGGCTTAGTATCCTTTGCATGGTTCAGGCTTGGTACTTGGGTCTGGGAACAGTGTGGGGTCCCTCTAGGGCAGATATGAGTGGCCGTGGGAAGTAGAGGAGCAGGAGCTAGAGTTATTGTATGTGTGGCCCACCTCTGCCACATGTCAGGCTGGGCCATGTACAGGACACTTACCGAGTTGGCAAAGCACCTTTGCTTTCCTGTCAGCTCAGAATCGAAATGTGGGGAGGAGGAAGTGAGCAGCTCACAGCATGGAGGGACAGTCAGCTTCTGGCCAGGGGACTAGCTCACAGGACACAGAGACAGGCTAGAGAGAGGTCAGAGCTTAGTGTCTGGGAGATCAAGTCCTGGTTTTACCACTTTAAGGGTTGCATGACATCAGTAAGGTGTATTTTTTGTGACTTGATTTCGTTTTTCTTTTTTGTGTGTGTGCCAGTCCTGGGGCTTGAAATCAAGGCCTTGGCACTGTCCCTGAGCTTTTTTACTCAAGGCTAGAGTTCTCAAGGCTAGTTTCAGCCACAGCTTCACTTCCAGCTTTTTGGTGGTTAATTGGAGATAAGTCTCACAGACTTTCCTGTCGGGGCTAGGTTTGAATTGCGATCCTCAGAGTCTCAGCCTCTTAAGAAACTTGGATTACAAGTGTGAGCCACAGGCACCAGGCTCCATTCTAATTCTTTTTACTCCCCAGTCATCCCATCTCCCAGTTCGGGACAAATTCCCAGGGCAGAGTCTGATTTACTAGCTATTGTCCTAGGCCTACTCCTCAATCTTGAGCATAGTTCAGCTGAGTCTATATCTATGTTAGAAGCCCAGTCTCACTTCAGGAATGGAGGCTGCTGAGCATATGCTAGTGATTTCAGGGTGGGTCAGATAAGGTGCTGAGAATACCAGGATCCCCTTCCTAATGGATCTCTGTCCCGAATTTAGGTCTCAGATTCACCACCAGGAGAGGATGACATGGAGGGCTCAGCGGCTGGAGAGATGTCGGGAGCAGGGTCTGGCGGTGGCTCTGGCTGGGGCTCAGGGGCTGGTGAGGAGGTAGAAGGTGATGAGGATGAAAACATGGTATACTATTTCCTGGAAGAGAGTACAGGCTACATGGAACCTGCTCTGCGGTGCTTGAGTCTGTTACACACACTGGTGGCCTTCCTCTGCATCATTGGCTACAACTGTCTTAAGGTGGGCTATAACTGTGGTCCTGGGGACAGGGGCTTAGAAGGGGGCAAGATGCTGGGGCATTGATGGGGAGGATCTGGGGTAGAGCTTGGGGATGGGGCAGAAGTTGAGCTCTCACAGTGGTTGAGACATGAAGAGAGGTTGAAGTAAGGATGAGACACTGATAGAAAACTTGGGATGGGGTACTGGTGGCTCATGCCTGTAATCCAAGCTACTCAGGAAGCTGAGATGAGAGGAGCACAGTTCAAAGCCAGCCCAGGCAGGAAACTCTGTGAGACTCTTTAACTCTAATAACCAGCAGAAAACCAGAAGTCGTACTATGGTTTTAAATGGTAGAGCACTAGTCTTGACCTTTTGAAAGTGCTCTAGGACAGTGTCCAGGCCCTGAGTTCAAGCCCCATGACTGACAAAAAGAAAAGAAAAGAAAAATCGGGGTCTGTAGCAAAGGTGGCAGTCAAATTGGAACAGGTACAGATGATGGCTGAGGTAGTCAAGGCCAAGACTTTTCAAATCTCCAGGCCTAGATATCTGTCAATTTCTGCATCAGGAGGCAACTGTGTCATTGGGAATGCTCTGCATGTTTGTTGCTGGGTGAATTAAGATCTGTAGTGAGCCAAGTGTGGTAGCACATACCTGTAATCTCAGCACTTGTAAGGCTTGAGAGTTCCAAGCCAGCCTAGGGGAAGTGGTTCTATGGCTCAAGTGGTAGTGCACTCACCTTGAGCTGAAGAGCTGAGGGACAGTGCCCAAGCCCAGAGTTCAAGCCCCACTACCAAAAAAAAAAAAAAAAAAGCACCAAGCCAGCCTAGGTTACATAAGAGAGACTCTTAGAGGTCCTGGATATCAGGCATAACAAAAATAGTTAATAGGGATGTAAATTCCACATCCCATTCTCCACCCTCTGCCTGTGCCTTCCCATTTCAATTCCCCCCACCCCCGTGTCCGTCTGTCTGTCTGTCTGTCTGTCTCTCCTTCTCTCTTGTTGGTTGGTTGCGGAGGCCCTGCTCCTCTCTGAGGTCTTTTTGTTCAAGGTTAGTGCTCTAGCACTTTGAGCCACAGAGCCACTTCCAGTTTTCTGATGGTTTATTGGAGATATGAGTCTCATAGACTTTCCTGCCCCAGCTGGCTTTGAACCATGATCCTCAGATCTCAGCTGATCCTAGCTACTCTCCTGAGTAGCTAGGATTACAGGCATGAGTCACCAGCCCCTGGAGCCCCATTTCCATCTTGACCACTGTGGGAAAGCTCCTCCAACAAGGAGGCCCCAGCCAGTTCTCAGGTGGTTGATCCTCCCACGGGCCTGATCCTTTCCTTCCTTCCACAACCCAGGTGCCCCTGGTGATCTTTAAACGGGAAAAGGAGCTAGCCCGCAAGCTGGAGTTCGATGGCCTTTACATCACAGAACAGCCTGAAGATGACGATGTGAAGGGACAGTGGGACCGCCTGGTACTGAACACACCGTAAGTGTCTAGCATCACCTCATGGTGTGAGGGGGCGCTAGGAGGGGCAGTGTGTGCAGAGCTGAGTTTCCTCCCCAGTTGAGTCTCAGTGGACCAGAACCTCCAGATTGGCGTCCAAGAATTGTCATGTTAAATGCTGTCCCAATAGGTGATTCTCACTCAGGGCCCATAAATGAGACATAAGAATTCATTGAGCTGGGCACTGGTGGCCCCCACACCTGCCATCCTAGCTACTCAAAAAGCTGAGATCTGAGAATCATAATTCAAAGCCAACCTGGGCAAGAGAGTCCGTAAGACTCTTATCTCTGGGGCTGGGAAGGTGGCTCAGTGGTAGAGCGCTTGCCTTGCATGCTTGAGGCCCTGGGTTTGATTCCTCAACACCACATAAGCAAAAGGAAAAAAGCCGGAAGTGGTGCTGTGGCTCAAGTGGTAGAGCGCTAACCTTGAGCTGAAGAGCTGAGGGACAGCGCCCAGGCCCAGAGTTCAGGCCCCATGACCAGACTCCCCCTCCCCCCAAAAAAGACTCTTATCTCCCATGAACCACCAAAAAAACTTGGAAGTGGAGCTGTGGCTTAAGTGGTAGAGTGCCAGCCTTGAACAAAAAAAAAAAGGTCAAGGACAGTGCCCAGGCCCTGAGTTCAAGCCCCCAGACCAGCACATATAATAATAATAACAACAATAATAATAATAATTCATTGAAAGTTTTGTCAGCCTAGGCAATGCAGGAGACCTGTCTTATTTCTGTGTGCCTGGCAGAGAGCTCCCATCTCTGCTTTCTACCAACTGAGATGTTCTCTCTCTCTTTCTCTGCAGGTCTTTCCCCAGCAACTACTGGGACAAATTTGTCAAGCGGAAGGTAAGAAGACATGGTCAGGAGAAGATGGATTTCTAGCCTGGGTCTCCTGTGCCACCACCTGGCTCTCTCAACATTGCTGAGTGCTTTCTCTGTGTGCACCCTTGGGCAAAATGCTTTTCCTATCTGAAGAGCACCTCAGTTTACCCATGGACACATAGGGTGATTCTCATACTTCCCCCTCTAATGGGGGTGACTCAAGTAAACTGTGCTTCCTGCCATTTGGCAGGGTGAAGACTCAGTATATAGTAGGGAATAAGGGAAGAGATGGGGATTTGAACTTAGAGCCTAGAGTGTTGTAGGCAGGTGTGCTCTACCACTTGAGCCATACCTCTAGATATGGAGCAACACTTTTAAATTCAGTTAAAGACTGAACATAGCCAGGTGCTAGTACCTCGTGCCTGTAATCCTAGCTACTCAGGAAGCTGGGGATTGAGGCACATAGTTCAAAGCCAGCCAGTGCAGGACAATCCATAAGACTTTTATTTTCTCAACCAAAGGCCAGAAGGGGAGCTATGACTCAAGTGGTAGACTGCCAGCCTTGGGCAGTGCTCAGGCCCTGAGTTCAAGTGCCACTACCTATAGAGAGAGGGGGGAGGAGAGAGAGAGAACCCCAAATGTGTAAGACCCTAGGTTTGATTTTTATCATACTAAATAAACAAATATATAACTAAAATGGGAGCCAAGCATGGTGCTGTTTTTAGTGTAGAGGGCTCAGAAACAATTACACTAGGGCTAGGAATGTGGCTTAGGGTACCATGCTTGCCTAGCATGCATGAAGCCCTGGGTTCGATCCCTCAGTACCACATAAACAGAAACAGCTGAGGCTGAAGTGGTAGAGTGCTAGCCTTGAGCAAAAGAAGCTCAGGGACAGTGCTCGGGCCCTGACTTCAAGCCCCAGGACTGGCGAAAGAAAGAAGGAAGGAAAGAAAGAGAGACAGAGACAGAGAGCTAGGGAGGGAGGAAAGAAAGAAAGAAAAAGAAAAGAAAAGGAACAGTTATACTAGTTTACAAGGAGGTGCCAAAGTGAACCTGGTAGAAAGCCAGAAGAAAAATATCCTAGACAAAGGTAATCCTTGGTCTGAACCATGAGGCTGGGGTGGCTGGAGCAGTGTGAGTGAAAAGTGAATGGAGAGAGCCAGGTTCGTAAATGGAAAGAGGCCCAGATGCATAGGCTTTCTTACCTATCTATCTAAAATAATAAATGATCCCAATTGGGCAACTGAGTCAGCTAGACCTTACCTCTTTTGGACCTTTCCCCAAGAATCTGTAGAATGTTCTGACCCCCGTTCCATCCCCCAAAATACACCCCCAATTTCTCACACTAAGTCCAGAGTAACCTCACACCCTCCATGTAAGCCAGTCTAGTCTGGATGCTAACTAGTCAAGTCTAAGCCTTCCTGACCCTGTTCCCTAGGTTCTGGATAAACATGGGGACATCTTTGGGCGAGAGCGGATAGCAGAGCTGCTGGGCATGGACCTGGCCTCACTGGAGATCACTGCCCACAGTGGGCGCAAACCTGAGCCTCCACCGGGGCTGCTCACCTGGTGAGTTGGGGCAGCACTCAGGTGGGGGTGGGGGAGGTGGTCAGGGTCTGATGTTCAACCATTGGCTGTCCCCTCCTCTTCGCCCTGCCTACAGGCTCATGTCCATCGATGTCAAATACCAGATATGGAAGTTTGGAGTCATATTCACAGACAACGTGAGGAGCACCAGAGGTGGGAGGGACCCAGAAGGAGGGGCCTCCCCCCTCCTCACAAATGTTTCTGACCCAAGAATGAATCCTGAACCCCTTCCTTTTATACCTTTGATCTTGGGATACCTTCTCACTCAGATTCCTTGTCCCCAGAATAACTTTTGATACCTTAGTGCTCCTAGATTTCAGTTTTTTTGTTTTTGTTTGTCCCCTGCCCCCCATACTATAGTTTGAACTTAAAATCTGGTGCTTTGCGAGGCACACAGATGCTGTGTGACGTTAGCCACACCCTCAGCCTTTTTTTTTTTTGGCTTCAGTTATTTTTTTAGGTAGGTTTTTAACTTGGGCCAGAAAATCCTCAGGCCTCAGATCACAATCCTACTTCCTAACTGTGGCTTCTTTACCCAGTTTGTTGGTTGAGATGTGGTGTGTGTGTGTGTGTGTGTGTGTGTGTGTGTGTGTGTGGAGAAGGTTTCACTAACTTTTTTGCTAGGGCTGGCCTCCAACCACAATCTCTGCCTCCTGAGTAGCTGGTACCACTCCTAGATATATCTCTCTCTGTCTCTCTGTTTCTGTCTGTCTCTGTCTGTCTGTCTGTCTCTCTCTCTCTCTCTCTGTCTCTCTCTCTCTGTCTCTCTGTGGTGTGTGTGTTTTGACACATGATCTCCCTATTTAGCTCAGACTGACCCAGCAAATAATCAAATTTCCTATGTAGCTGAGGCTGGCTTTGAATTCATGATCCTCCTGACACCATTTCTCAAGTAACTGGGATTAGTTGTACCACCACACCAGCTCAGCCAGCTTCCTTCTGGAGAGGAAGAAGTTGCTCTCCACCTTCCCCTAGAGTGCTCCCTGGCTTCCTAGTGCTCCCACACACACCTCCTCCAATCTGAGGTAGCACAGGATGCACAGTGCTCCCAAGTGTCCTTTACATGTTCGCTGACCCCAGCCCCTGTGTACCACATACAGTCTTTCCTATACCTCGGCTGGTACATGGTAATGTCTCTCCTGGGTCACTACAACAACTTCTTCTTCGCTGCCCACCTCCTGGACATCGCTATGGGGGTGAAGACACTGCGAACCATCCTTTCCTCCGTTACCCACAATGGGAAGCAGGTGGGACCAGGACCTGGCAGGGAGGAGCCTGGCAGTCTGGGGGAGGGGATAAGGCTGGATGGCTGTGCCAGGGTGCTGCATGGACAGGAGGTTGGGGTCATGGACAGGGAGGGGTTGGAGCTGACCTGCCCACCCCTGCCCCCAGCTGGTGATGACCGTGGGCCTCCTGGCTGTGGTAGTCTATCTGTACACCGTGGTGGCCTTCAACTTCTTCCGCAAGTTCTACAACAAGAGCGAGGATGAGGACGAACCGGACATGAAATGTGATGACATGATGACGGTGAGCCCCCTTCCTCCCCAGCAATTCATGACCTCAGTTTCCCTGTCCATACATGTACGTTCACAACAGTACCTGGAACTGGAGTTTTAGGCTCTGGTCCACATATCAGGTCTGGCTACTCATTGCTGTGCACCAAATAGAGAGACGTGGGGAAGGACAGAGCAAAAGAGAGTTAGTACATGGCTTAGCTATTCAGCCACCTTCAGAGTACAGACACGAGTGACAGGTTCAGATAAAGAAGGAAAAGGATGAGCTGGGTATTGCTCACTCACACCTCTAATCCTAGCAACTCAAGCAGCTGAGATCTGAGAATTGTGGTTCAAAACCAGCCCAGGCTGGGAAGTCTGTGAGGCTCTTATCTATACTGAACTACCAGAAAACCAGAAGTGGCAGAGGTTTAAGTGATAGAGTGCTCTAGCATTGGGCACAAATGCTTAAGGGCAGTACTTCAGCCCAGTGTTCAAGCCCCAGAACCAGCACAAACAGAAAGGAAAGGAAAAGGAGGGGAAAGGAAGGAAGGGGAGAAAGAGAGCAGGAGACAGGGAGAGAGAAAGGGAGAGAGGGAAGAAAGGAGAGAGGGAGGGAAGAAGGGAGGAAAATGGAGGGGAATAAAGCATAAAGTATGCATAAACAATCCCAGTTGCAGGTTGGACCTTGTTGACCCATTGTCTCAGTTCTGGTTCTGCCAAGGATTCTGGAAAAGTCATTATGGCTGTGATTACTTGAGAGGAGCAATGTGGTTCCCATGAGATGAGTTTCCTCTGCTCCCAGACGCAACCTCATCTTTTATATATAACTGTCCTCCTCTGGGAGTGATATGTCCTACAAAGATTTCCTTAGGGGTAGTTGTAGTTCCTTGTCATAAAGCTATTATAATAAGTGTTGTCCTTCCTTGGATTCTCAGGGAAGGAAATGGATTAAAATGAAAGACATAGAGTTGGGAATGTGGCCTAGTGGTAGAGCACTTGCCTAGCATGCATGAAGCCTTGGGTTTGATTCCTCAGTACCACATAAATAGAAAAGGCCAGAAGTGGAGCTGTGGCTCAAGTGGTAGAGTGCTAGCCTTGAGCAAAAGAAGCTCAGGGACAGTGCCCCGGCCCTGAGTTCAAGCCCCAAGACTGGGAATAAATAAATAAATAGATAAATAAAATAAAATATAAGACATAGCTCAAAAGTGGAGGCAGGATTGCCTAGCTTTCCACCTGCCTTTAGTTTATTTGTGAGCCCAAGTCAGGAGTCAGTGCTTTTTTGCCAAAGCAACTTTTTTTTTTTTTTTTTTCGTCGGCTGTGGTGCTTGAACTCTGGGCCTGGGCGCTGTCCCTCAGCTCTTCAGCTCAAGGCGAGCGCTCTACCACTTGAGCTACAGCGCCACTTC